ATACCCCAGATGATTTTGATGATTCGTCATCAAGTAACAATTATTCAAATGTCGATCCAGATGAAGATCCACATGTCAATCGGCCAAATAGTCAAAGCCCTTTGGGAATAAAATCACCACAGCCTACAGATAACTCTGACGATGAATGGATAGATGTCGAGGACGATCCGAAAACATTTCCTTTTACGCCACAAGAGTCTATTAATATAAACATTCCAAAGGATGCTAGTCCACTCCAATATTTTGAATTGTTCTTTGATGATAGCATAATTGAGAGAATTGTTCGTGAAACAAACAGGCGAGCTAGAGAAGTATTTGATAATCAGCCGGTATCTACAAGGAAGAAAAAGGGAACAAAATGGCATGTCACAACTGTAGAAGAAATGAAAAAGTTTATAGGTTTATGCTGTCTAAGTGGTAATATACGCTTTCCTACTTTGACATGGAGCAAGCATGCATTATATAATCACCCTATTTTTGGACAGACAATGTCTCGCAACAGATTCACAACTATTCTGCGAATGTTAAGATTTGTGGATCACTCCACTACTAATACTGAAGATCGTCTTTTTAAAACCCGCCCAATCTTGAAAAAAATATTTGAGAATATAAAATCTATCTATACTCCAGGCCAACATTTAAGTATTGATGAAGCAATGATATTATGGCGGGGACGATTAAGCTTTCGCCAGTATATACCAAATAAAAGACACAAATATGAGATAAAGCTATACGAGTTGACCACTGATAACGGGTACATTCTAAACATAATTGTTTATGTTGGAAAAGGAACTTTGGTAGACGAAAACGAGTCGCATGCAGCAGCGGTTGTAAAACAACTATTAGATGGATATTTAGGAAAAGGTCATATTTTATACATAGACAACTTCTATTCAAGCGTCCCTCTTGCTGAATATTTGCTATCCAACGATACTGGAATGGTTGGAACTTTACGAGAAAATAGACGAGGAAATCCCAAAAAAATGTTAAATAAAAAATTAAAGAAGGGAGAAGCAATTTGGAAACGCAAAGGAAAGGTTGTGGTAACTAAATGGAAGGACAAGAGAGACGTCCGAATGATAAGTACTTGTCATAAACATGAGATGGTAAAAATTACCCCAAAAAGAGGCCTTGAAAAATGTAAGCCACAGTGCGTGTTGGATTACAACTCTCATATGTCATGAGTAGATAGGGCCGATCAAATGATGTCTTATTACTCAAGCCCTAGAAAAACAATCAGATGGTACCGAAAATTATTTTTTCATCTGGTGGACATCTGCATGTGGAATGCCTGTTTCATCTATAACAAAAACCGTCAATCAAAAAAGACTCTTTTGCAGTTCCGTGAAGAAGTTTTGATCGATATTTTGAAACCAAAATCGTTAAAACCACAAGTCCTAGATTTTCAGTCACATCACTTTCCGGCTGAAAATACCGGAAAGAAGAATACTATGAAGAGATGCAGGTGGTGTTCTAAACAAAATATACGAAAACGTTCAAAGTATCATTGTCCTCAATGTGAAGATCAGCCTGGATTATGTATTGTGCCATGTTTTAGAGAGTGGCATCTCAATTTAAACTCCAATTAATATTTTAAAAAATGTATTCGCTTTAGTATTTTTTTATATGTTGCTATTTTTGATATAACACGTATACGTGTATATATATTATTTGAAATATGAGATGTTTTATTTAATTCCTTCGAAGCCACTATAATGGCCGTTGGTCTATTACAATATCTGTGACTACTGTCAGACCAACGGCCACTTAAATAGTCTTGAAATAAAATGGCGGAAGTTTATCCAGAACGTCGAGCTAATTCTTTAGCCACAAGAATCACTCAAAAATCCGTATGGGTTCAAAAGATGTCGAAGTTGGTTTATTACAAGCGACCAGCAGCTGCTGTAACACGGCGGTAGTTAACGTGTTAAAATTTGTATACAATGTTCTTGATACTTTTTTTGTACATTTTAAAACTAAAAAAAACATGCCGGAATTCTTTCTAATGAATCTATTTGTTTATAAATAAATTTAAGAAAATATTTTAAACAAGAACCAATAATAAATATTTAAAACAAGAACTAATCTTAAACTTTTGCCAACAAAGGAGTTTGTTGAATCTTATTTTATTTACAGACGGTTGTATAAATATGGATTTTTGCATAATAGAAATTGGTGTTATTTTTTTTTTGGTATCGTAAACGATTAAAATGATTTTAAATTTAAAAAGTCGACGAATATTAACAGTAAAAGTTCTATGCAAATATTATTTTGTCAAAATGATTTTATTTTAAACCATGGTACTGTTTTGTTTTATTATCTTTAAGACTGCGATTTTTCGAGGTAAGAAAATAAAAACTGGATAACCTTTTTATAGGGTGGTTCTTAAAGCATGTGTGAAAGATCGTTATTAATAATATGAATCACGTACTCTGTTCACTGCTAAATAAGCACTTTTTACAGGTTAATATCTATCAAAATTGAAACTGCAAACGAATGGTGCTGCATTTGTGGACGCATGCATGGTGCAGGCCGTTGCAATAAAAGAAAATTTGATTGTATTTTATGCGAGAAAACTCTTAAAACTGTAACATTACTGCAAAAACACATAGATTCGACTCATGGCAAGGAGTCATGGAAATGTAAAATTTGCCAAAAAGAATTTAAAAAGGTAATTCCTTACAGAAGACACGTAAACAGGCTACATAAGAAAAAAGACAAATATCCGTGCAAATTCTGTTTAAAACTATTTCTCACGCCGGTCGCGCTAACAAAACACAAAAAAATACGCCATCAAGGTGACGGTGAATACAAATGCCCAACTTGCGAAAAAGTATTCTATTTATCGTCATTTTTGAAAAAGCACATAAAAACGCACGAAGTTAGACATCGTAATCAGTGTATGCAATGCGAAAAGTCTTTTCTGAACAAAGATGCACTGCAAAAACACGTTGCCTATAAGCACTTTGGAGTTGTTTATAGATGCCCAATATGCGAAAAAGGTTACCACGCTGAGCAGTATTTAAAGACACACATGAAGACTCACGATGAAAGTTACAAAGCTGTCTCCATAAGTTGCGATCAATGTGATAAAACGTACCTAAGCAAAAAAGCACTTCGCATGCATCAAAGAACAATACACGAAGGGCAAAGATACGTGTGCGATTTGTGTGGAAAAGAACTGACCAGTTTAACCTCGCTTAAAACTCACATTCGAATACACAACAAAGAAAAGCCCTTCGATTGCAAGATATGTGGAAAATGTTTTGCGAAAAAGTCAGTTTTAAGTGTGCATCATCGAACGCATAGCAATGTAAAACCGTACACGTGCGAAATATGCGGCAAATCCTATTCACAGAGATCTCCTTTGACTATTCATATCAAGACGATACATTGTACAGATAGACCATATTCCTGTACGATATGCAGTAAAGGATTTCCTACTCAAGGTTTATTAAATGCCCATTCTAAGTCGCATGAAAAGAAATACGTTAAGTAAATTATTATCTGTAAAATATATTTATTGTAAATTTAGTATTATTAAATGTATCTATAATTATCCTGTTTAATTTATTGCCAACCCACCAAAATGATCCATTTTTCAGATTTTAAACTGGGCGTTCCTTTTTTGATTTTTTCATAAAATAATTATTGTTAAAGATAAAGACTTATCTTTTTTAAAATAAAATAAAAAGGGTGAAATGTAAACTTTTTAAATGATATATTTCTAATTTACGTCAACGAATTTCATTCAAAAGTTTTAAGCGCAAAACATAAAAAAAATTCCCAAGAACATGAGGTGAAGAAAAATTCAAAAATTTTAAGGATTCTCGCAAAATATAAAAAAAGTTCCTAATAACATGGGGTCAATCCTAAGAACATGGGGTCAAAAATGCTTTATAAAGGCCCCCACAGATTTTCATCAGATTGTATCGTCACGATTCGTGTCAAATCGTTAATACGTCAATGCCCAACATGCTACGGGAAATACTGGCGGTTAACTTTTTAGTACTTTCATGGAGAGAAAGGTTAGCAGTTGCGGTTTTAAAAAACACGAAGATTAGTTTTTTTTTGTTTTCATACCGGTCTCAGTATTCTATAGACAAGGAAATTGTCCATAGGTTTTAATTAAATCTATTAAAAATTGTTTATACATTGACTTTTGCGAATGTTTAAAAAACGTCACAAACATCATTGCGTTTTTTGACACGACGTTCCTAATCCTCCTGGCGAGATAAACGGATAAAAAAGTATCTGGAGGCCTTAAGGGAAAAGACAGTGCCAACATGCCATCACCATAGATAATAAATCATCACGACACTCAACTTCAAAACGCAAAATCATTCTTTTTCAAACGGTTGGTTTTAGAGCTTTTAAACGAGAGGACCTTTTTTGTGTAAAACAAATAAAAACTCATTAAATGGTACCCAATAACGTACATACAAAATGGTGAGCTCCATGATCCCCTGTTTGGGTTCCCCTGATAATATATCAGGTCTGAAACAGAAAAGTTGCATTTTTTAACTATGGTGCGTGTGCCAAAATGTATTATTCCAAGTACACAATAAAATGTAAATGTTGAGTACCAAGGGCTTATTTAAAAATATTTTTTACCCCATATTCTTAAAAACCTTTTTTTCAAACAAAGCGCCGCAAAATTAACGCATATCTTAAGAAATCCTGGAAAACTCTAAACTAAATATTTTCGTTTTTAAATAGTCAGATTATTACTTTTAACATTTTAGGTAAGATTTAAGCTTGTACAAACTCCATAAGGCGTAGAAATAAGAATGCAGCGTATTCATAAACGATAACGAAATTTGAATTTGTAATTTAAAAAAATACTAAATTTAATAACTTGTGATCACACCTTGGCGTAGGTACTTAAAATTAGGTTTCTGATCGTACGCCTCAAAGACATTTCATTTTAAGTTCCTAGATGGAACCTAAAAGGCCCTAACCTGCCGACCCATGTTCAATTGGATTAAGAGCAAGACTTTATGGTGGCCAAGCCAAAGTTTCAATTTTCACTTACTGGAGGTAATCTTGCACAATCCCAGCTAAGTGTGGACGTGCATGATGGTGTATGAATTAAATTTCCTCCAGAATAAAGGGTGCATATGGGGTTCTAAAAATCTTACCATAACCATACCATACCATAACAGATCCACCTTCAACAATGCAATGCAACAATGTTGCATTGTGCTTACCTATCGCTCGCCAGGACGTCGATCCTTTCTTCTGCGGCGATCATTACTAAAGGGACAAAATCTGGACCATTCGGTTAACAGACTATTTTGTCTTTGATGGTCTACTATTAGTAGGGGACCAGGTGCAACGACATGGGCAGTTACATTAATTTCTGCTAGCCTTCTTTGCATTGTATCTTGAAAAATACGGTAATTATACCGACTAAAAAATTCCTGCTGGAGTGCAGTGGTTCTTTTGAATCAATTTCGTTGCGCCTGCAGTTGCAAAAATCAATCTTGATTATTGGTTTTCATCCTTTGTCATCCTTGTCTAGCTCTTACAAAACCGTGTCAGGGCTCTGGAGATCGCAGATTGTGTCCAAATCGCAATGCCACAACTTGTGGCAAGCCAGTTTCCACAAGTGCTATGTCAGGTGAAAGAGTTCTTATGTCACGTGCGTTTTGGGCCATTTCGTTTTTAAACACTCTTTATAACGTTGGAACTTCGCAATACGAGCATACACAAGACATTATGAATGCGTTTACACAGAATTTTGTTAACATTTTATTAAAAACTGCTGTGTTAATGTTCTCAGCTAAAAAAAAAAGTTGGAATATATCCTACAGAAACCATTTTACACCATGTACATTTTTGCACTTTGCGTTAATTTTGCGGCGCAGTGTATTTTGCGCTGTAAAATCAGCCCTTAAATTTTTTGAATGGAATTCAGAGACATCCTGTCTCAGATTTTAATCGGCAAAATTTAGTAGTCGATATAACTTGCAAAAATAAAAATAATAGTTTATATAACCTTGTATGTTTTAAAGCTGTTTTCGAGATACAGGGAGGGTGGTAAAGTTATTAAAAAAATATTTATCTTTTAAAAAATTTCAAAATCTCCTTGGCCCAATTTAATAAAACTTCAGATTTTTAGTAATGGACAAAGGGCTTAATTTAATGTAATTAAATTAAATTTAGCTGGAGCATCCCAACTATGTAGATTTAAAAAAATAAAAGATGGGTACGCTACTGCTTTTTTATAGGTTAAATAAAAATAGAAATTTTTTGCCTTTTGCATTTTTTCTTTATCTTGTTTAATTTTCAAGAAAAAAATAAAATTCGTTTATTCACTCACCCCTGGAAAAATTATGTTCACGAGAGCGGAGACAAACATTTAATTTTTTTCTTGAAAATTAAGCAAGATACAAAGAAGTCGTATTTTTAATTGCTTAATTTAAACACCCTATATTTCGAAAACAGCTTTAAAGAATACAAGGTCATATAAACTTTTCTTTTTATTTTTACAATTTTTATTGACCATTAAATTTTCACGATTGAAATTTGTATACATATTATATTTTATATATTGAGATGAACATTATCCTGGTAGGTAATTATTATTATTTCAGTTCACATTTTTTAAATTTTGTTTTAAGAATATCCCGAATTTTATTTTTATTTCATTTTTAAATTTTATGTTCTGTTCCTGTCATTTTTTGTTAAATTAATAGATTTTTTAAAAGGTACTTGAAAATGGCGGATGCGTCGTAAAAATTAATATTTTTTCACTTTAAATTATTATTATTTTTTCTTAACTACAATTTATAAATAGGGATTAAAAATATTTCCAATGGTATTTTTCACTTGCTACATAAGTGTGAAAAGATTTATCGAAAACGAAGCGAGATGTGAAAAACAGTAAAGTAACTAATGGTTTTATCTAAAATAAATAATAAGCAGTGGAGCCGTAAAACTTGTTTAAAAAACCAGCTAATTGTGTGTTATCCCAGGAGGCCATTGAAAATAAATTAAATCTAATTACGTCAAAATCCGACCATTATTTTTATAAGCGAAAACAAAGTATCAAAAAATATGGAATAGGGGTTTTCAGGTATTATCTATAAAAAATAGGATATTTATAAAAATTGAAACACTATTTCGGAAACAAATTGTTTCCGAAACGTTTTTTCTTATTTTCATGCAATTAATTTTATCCTGATTTTTTTGCAATAGTTATGAATCGCCCGTATATATATAAAAAGGACGATCCATTTCATCATTCCTAAAATGAATACCTTTTTAACTTAATTTTATTTACCTATAAGAATAAGGAAAAATAATTTCTAGTTTTTTAGGCCCATACTATTAAAGCTAGAAGTTTATGACAGTGAAGAAAGCATTCGTTTTAAATGGACTTGTGTTGTTTGCGGGGAGATTTGCTTCAGCACAAAAATGCTAAGCATGCATGAGCTAACTCACGCGGGCCAATTGTTTTCTTGTACCTATTGCAATAAAGAATTTAACGAATTACATGCCTATAAACGCCACATAAGTAACCATATAAGAAAAAGGAAGCACAAGTTGTATTGTAAAATTTGCGATAAATACTTTTCTTCACCACAATACTTAAAGGCTCATTTAAATATTCATGAGGGGATTACATTTAAATGCGACGTGTGTAATAAGGATTTTTCTGATAGAGTTTATTTAAAAAAACACTTGAGGGTCCATGAACATGATTACGAAGCTGACAGAGATAATTGCAGCTTTTGCGGAAAAAATTTGATGAAATCAACGTTAAGACATCACATTAAAACTTATCATAGTGGAAATGTATACGAATGCAAATTTTGCAAGAAACGATATTTTAGCGATGAGTACTTGAAGCAGCATTTAAAAACCCACGAAAAAGGATATGTAGGACCACTTATACAATGTCCTCTATGCGAGAAAACATACCAAAGCAGTCGAGGTTTCAAGAGACACAACAAAATCGAACACGAAGGTCACAGACATACATGCGACTTATGTGGAAAGGATGTGTCAAGTGCTGCATCACTAAAAAGTCATATCAGAAGCCATAACAATGAGAAACCTTTTCTTTGTTCGGAGTGCGGCAAAAGTTTTGGTACTAAAACTCTTTTAAAAGTTCACACGAGAACTCATACTAAAGAAAAACCATATTCATGTGAAATATGTGGAAAGAGTTACTCGCAAAGATCGCCTCTTCTAATTCACCTCAAAACTGCTCATAGTGACGACAGACCATTTAAGTGTACCCTGTGCGATAAAGCGTTCGTTATACAAAGTCTCCTGAATTCACACATAAAAAAACACGAACGACTATAAATCAAATTATTAAGTTATTATTTATAATAAAAATTACAAAATATTTAATTTTTTATTTACCAACTTTCAGATATCATAATTCAATTTAATAAGCCACTTTCTGTAAAAAAAAAAATTAATACAATAGCCTTATCATAAAAAATATTTTTTTATAAAAATCAATGGCTTTCTATTCAAATAACTAAAAGATCATACACTTATTACAAAAAAATGGATATTGTTATAATTGCAACAATTTGACAGAGATTAAAAAAAAACAAAAAATAAAGATTTTTGAACGCCATAAAACTTCAAAATCAGAACATTTAAAATTCAAATCAAGGAATATTACTTATTTAAATTTTTTATCTTTTACCTTGTATTTGCATCTCAATAAACAAAGTTTTAATACAACTATTGATGGTTAATTTTATTGTTCCTATCAGAAATAATAAGACATAATCAAAGATTTTAATAAACAACAATATTTTTTTTAGGAAAATTAAAAAAGAATTTTTATTATGTGGAAGAAGCTCGATAAAAAAATATTACAGGTTCACTTGCATTGTTTGTGGCAAAGGTTGCAGCAATAATATCAAACTCAACAATCACGAACGTACTCACGTAGGTCAGCTGTTTCGTTGTATAATTTGCGACAAGAACTGCAACTCGATACTAACGTTCAAACGTCATATGTACCGTCATAAACTCCTAAGAAAAGGACCAGCCAAGTGCGATGTTTGTGATAAAGTATTCGCAACTGCCGGCTCCTTAAACCACCACAGCAAAAAACATAGTGGTGTAAAATTAAAGTGCCCTTTATGCAATAAACATTTTGAGATAAACTATTTAAAGCAACATTTAAAAAACCACGCAGATGGTAATTTAAAAGTAAAATGCGAAAGATGTGGCAGAGAAATGAAGCAGAGTTCGGTGAAGCTTCATAATAAAACATATCACAGTGGAGTTGCTTACGAATGTCATATTTGCAAAAAAAAATATCATAGCGATGGTTACCTCAAGACTCACTTAAAAACACACGAAGAAGGATATGTGCAAACTCCGAAGGAATGCCAACAGTGCGGGAAGTTTTACGCTTGCATTCAAAGTCTTCGGCACCATCAAAAAATTGAACATGAAGGAGTCAAACAAGTTTGTCATGTGTGCGGAAAAGAATTAACCAGCGTTGGTTCTTTGAAAATGCACCTTAGAAACCACAGAAAAGAAAAACCCTTTATTTGCCCCATTTGTGGTAAAGGATTCGTTTGCAACAACCTTCTGAAAGTACATCTTAGAACGCATACCAAAGAAAAACCGCATGTATGCAAAATCTGCGGAAAATGCTACTCCCAAAGATCGCCCCTATTAATTCATCTTAGAACTGTACATAGCGACGAAAGACCCTTTAAGTGTTCAATTTGTGATAAAGCTTTTGTTATTCAAAGTCTTCTAAATTCTCATCTTAAAACCCATTCGAAAATTTGTAAATCATGAATAAATGTTTTGATTATTGGTATTTTATTATTTCCAGTTGGGTATACAAAATGGTCAAAAATGTAAATATTTTAGTTGTTTGAGTTGTAGGCCAAACTTTTCTGTAAAATTGCCGAAACAGTTTATTATATAGGTATATTATATAAGAGATGGCAAGGTTACACAAGACGCCGCTTGCGTGTCGAACAACGCAAGTCGCGTAATTACTTTACATCTCGCGTTATGAACTATACTCCTACTACTGCATTAATTTTCAACCTTTCATAAGGAAACAACTCATTTTTGAATTTTACATTGACAATTCTGAAAAATATTTACTCAATGTCGCCACCATAACGTTAGTAACAAACAAAAATTGTCTAGAACAACTGTTACGTAATATAAATTATTATGCACTACCTTCATTACATAACAGTATACTGTATACTGTATAACTTACATACCAAGTTGACAATTTACTTAGCAGTTGTATAAATAAATAGTTATTTGTTTTACAAGTGTTAAAAAGCGACTTTTTCATGCGAGTGTTTAAGTTGCTCACAAGGCCGTCAGGCCGAGTGAGCATTAACACGAGCTTGAAGAAAGCTTTTCTCACAAGTGAAACAATGTTTTTTCTAGGCCCTTTTATTTTTTATTATATTCAAATACAAAACAAAATAACCTAAAAACGTGTTTGACAGCTGTCAAAATTACTTTCATCTTATTCTTTTAATTTTTAAGGTATACGTTATTTAAAATCAATAACCTTCTCAATTGAAATAAAGGCACCAAAATTGGAATTTTTTATACAAACACAATTAATTGTGTTCTAAATGATATTTAGATATATGTACAAATACAAATACAATACAAATTTTGAAACGAATGTCAAACGATGCTGTCAATTTCTTTTCACACAGACGTGTCACTTTTCACACAGAAATGTTACTTTAGTAAAGTAAGTAAGTAAAGTTTACATTCGTGTTTTGCCTTGCCAATAAAAAGATTTATTTTGTAAGAAACGATGCCATTACGAAATGTGACTTTTACATAGTGGTCGTAAAAAAGTATATTTCAAGCTAGTAATAACAATGTTTTAAACAGTATGTAAATGTTTTCAGATTAATTTTTAGACGCCTAACAATCATTGTTCTGCGTGACTTTTGAAACAAAACTAATACTAGCCTATAGGATACTATAGTATCGTCCATAACATGCATAGTCATGCATCGCATTTGTAGCTTGTTCATAAAAAATACTGAATCGACATATGCGGTTTGTGGTCAAAATATATCACAATCACAATATCACAATGTAAAAATACTTATGCTTATAAAATTAAAGCAGGAGGACGTATGCGATTTGTGACAAAAAATAAACCAGTTCTCAAAAAATCAAGAAAATTTAAAATGTGCGTGTAAAAGCTTTTGCTTATAACAACCTTCTCAGATCTGCAGACTTCATCTTTATCATAAAGCTCATACAAATTTATTAAAGGTTAATTAAATTAAAAAAGCATGTTTCAGCATCATTTTATTTTTGAGTGAAATTACCAGTTGTGGTTAACACTCTTTTAAAGTCATGTAGAAAAAACAGTATATCATAGATCGTTTGATGTGAGTTGTGTTGTATAAATCTTGTTAGTTCAGTTTAAATCATAAAGAAACAATTTTTAGGAGCCCTTTTGAAGAATTTCGTGACTACCAGTGTTATATTTGTGGACAAATATACGAAAACGACGAGGACCTGCGCGTTCACTTGGAGAATTTAGAAGCATTCCTTAAAATATACTGTGACCAATGCAATACTTTTATTTCTCTTGAAGATGCCCTATTCCATCGCCAAACCACCTATTTTTGTTCCCAGTGCAAATTAATGTTAACGAAGGAAACTTTTTTGGACCATGGTTGTCTTCATGATAACGAATATAAAGCGTTGGCTTTATCGTTCAAACAAGAATGCACTCAGTGTAAAAATTACTTTTTTTCCAAATTAAGTTTGGAGAAACATATGAATGAAAAGCATGGAAGTAAAATACTCAATTGTAAATGTTGCAAATTACATTTTATCGATGTTGAATTATTCAACAAACATCGATTGAACCATTATAGAAATGCAGGATTTGTTACCCTAAAGGAGGAGGGTCAAGAATCTAAATTACAGGAGAAATTATTGAACCTTATCAACCGTACTATTAAAAGAAACAAGGAATTATGTGAAATGCGTGACAAAAACAATACAGATTTTACAAGAGAAATGAAACAGGAAAAATTGGATGTTCTAAACCTCAGAAATAAATCTGTTTTTAAAGCAGGGTCATTCGACAGTAATCTTACGTCTAGGTATAAAATGTTTAATTATAGTAAATTCCAAAATGTTTTAATTTTTATTAATTTTTAAAAGTATATAAAAGATCATTTCATTTTGGATATTTAAAATTCAATATAATCATTTTTACCGTTATTTTATTTTTGTTTGTTTAATTTTTATTTTGCAATTTTAATCTCCCACACTTTACCTTTATTTATTTATGTTGTAGTTATTATTCTTTATTTCAATTATTAAATTTTATTAAGAAAAGAAAACTTAAAACCAAATAATATTTTTAATTTTAGGGAATCGATATCGAATGATGAAATAAACCAATGCTATATTTGTGGGCAAATTTTTGGCAATGGTGAAGATTTAAGATTTCATTTAGAGAATTTAGAGGCGTTTTTAAAAGTGTATTGCAAGCAATGTAAAAGTTTTGTTACATTTGAAGAATCTATATTCCATCTGCAGATAACTTATTCTTGCTCACTTTGTAAACTAATATTGCCACAAGGAACATTTTTGGAGCACGACTGTCTTCATAAAAGTTCCAATCAGCTGCTGGCGATGTCCTTGAAACAGGAATGCAATTCTTGTGATAAAATATTCTTCTGTGATCTAGATATTCAAAAACACATTGAAGAAGTCCATAGTAATAATAAACCAAAGGAATTACACTGCAAATGTTGCAAATTAACTTTTTCAAGCAAGGAAATGTTTAAAATGCACGTGTCCGGTCATTATAAAAGAGCAGGCGTACTAAATACGAATACACAGAGTAATCATTTGAAAAACGACGTTAAAGAAGATAAAGGCCCCAAAAAAGCTTCCCCTAATAAAAAGAAGAAAAATGGATTGCAGAAGAAAACTAAGACTGGAACGAAAAAAAAAGCTGTGATTTATCAGACGATGCAAACCAGATCTGCTAGAATTCAAACCAGAAAAAAAGTCAAGATTTTGCCAACTATGAGTAAAAAGGATAAATTTTGTTGTGGTACTTGCCATAAGGTTTTTAAGACATCTCATTTATTGGTTACGCACAAACGTAAGCATTGACCAAAATTTTCATTTAGTTAGTTTCTTATAATTAGATAAGTTTCCGTAAAGGTAACACCACATTGGTGTTTTTAATGCTTTAACATTATAAAGCCATTTTGTAAAAAATGCATTTTTATTTTCACGAAAAATTACCTAGTCAAAACACGTATTTTGAAAGTAATATTTTCTTAGGTATATTAATCACTATTAATTTAGATTTGCTGCATTGGGTTACCCCAATTTGGGTAATGCATATTTTTGTTCATAACTTTGAAATAACACATAATACAAACCATCACTCAATAAAAGAAAATAATAATTATTATAATGTATAATTTACTAATTTTGTTTATGTCCAAAGGATTTACTGTGTTGTTTAAAAATAGGTTATTTGTTACTTTTCATTTATAGGTTGACGATTTGGCCATTAGTTTTTTGTTTATATTTTGGGTTTTAGTTTCGGTTTATATAAATACAATAAATATAAAGATTAACATTTTTTTTAAATTTAAGGATAATATTTTTAGTTTGCGATTCCCAACTCAAAAAATGTTTGTATTACATTGATTCTCATTCTGTTTTTCACGTGTGCCATTTATTTGTTTTTGTTAATAAATCAATTTATAAATAACGACTTAATTTTTCATCTTGCCTACCTTCATTAAATGAAATGTAAATTGTCCACTATTTTTCAAAATTACGGTTAAGGGTAATGTTAGATAACCATATAAATGTTTTTCCTGGTATGTATAGGATTTAGTGTTACTAAAAAGGTAAGATTTTAGCTTGGTACCTAAATTTATTAATATTGTCGATAATTTTGTGTAATGTAAAATTTATTCGGTTATTTTCTTTTAGGTATCGATGTTCCACTTGTAAATTAAAATTTCTATCAACTAGTGATTATCAAAAACATCAAAAAAACCTAAGCCTCTTTTTAAAATTATTTTGTGGAGATTGCAATGAATACACATCGAATAATAATACAATTAAGCACCATACCGTCATTGTTTCCTGCGATTCTTGTAAATTGTACCTTCCTCAAGAAAAGTATTTGAATCATTTTTGTTTCCATTTAAGTTCTTCGCAAAAAATTGCCGAGGAACTTAAGAAAACTTGTTATCGCTGTAATGAGTCGTTTTTTTCTGAAAGTTTACTGGAAAATCATTTTCTTGACTGCGAAAAAGAATACAAGCATTTCTGTAAATGTTGCAACGCAGACAGTTGTAAACAAATACTAGAAATTCCTTTGGAAAGGGTTAAAATCTGGAAATCCGTATTAAACAATTATTATTGCAACTCATGCTTTTTTTCCTATCAAGAAATAGACTCGCTAAACAAACACATGGAACATGTCCATATACTTAAAAAATTAGACTGTGCTTTTTGTGGTAAACATTTTCATAACGAAAAAGCCTACCGAGCGCACCTAAAAAAATACGACTTAAAAATTTATAAACTTTATAGTGCACCCAAACAAAAAGTTAAAGTTCCATGCCACATATGCGGAAAAATGGTGTTAAAAAGAAGCCTTGTAGACCACGTAAAATTACATACCAACGAAAAGGCCTATTCGTGCCCAGTTTGCGAAGAATCATTTAAGACGCAGGGCCATCTTCGAGCTCACAGAATCTCTAAACACGAACCCAAGGAGATGTGTGAAATATGCGGTGCACAAATCAAAAGAAACCATATTAGAAGACACCTGTTGAAGCATGGGGACATTCGAAAATATAAATGCACGACTTGTGATAAATCATTTAAAACTGTAAGCGCTCTGCAACAACACAAACTAATTCATGAAAATTTCGCAAGGCATCGATGTGATATTTGTGCTAAACCGTTTAAAAGGGCCGACAACTTACGGGTGCATAAAAGATCTCATGCCGATGTAAAACCTTTCCCATGCGATTTGTGTACCAAAACTTTCACGACCAAACAATGGAGAGACTCGCATAGAAGATCACATTTTTAGATAATTTATTATTATGTTTTGTTAATTGTTTTAAAAATCAAATAAATATCTAATAACATTTTTATAAGTGTTTTGTTATAAGTACCTAACAGTTTTTGCACCTAAAAGGCAATAAACGCTGGCTAACAAGATTTCTGTCACGCAAGATATTTCAAACACTTTGTATTTTGCAAGATTAAATATATTTTTAAAACAAATTCAATTTTCTTATTGTGAAAATTTTGTTTTAAAATCGCATACTCAGTAACCTTCCTAAGTAACATTGAATTGAAATCATTAAAGCAATCGTGCGCAATAGAAAACAAAATGTTGGACTGTGTCTTATTACGTGAATCCTGATGTTAATTATTCTGGTGTTTTAGGACGTTTAAGATCATTAGAGTTCAAGAAAAACATAACAAAGAACGTTTAATTGTCCCCAGTGCCTGGGAAAAAGACAAACTTTTGTTTTGGCCTAAAACCAATGCCGACAAGTTAGTTACTAATAAATATACTTGTCCTAAATCAGATTGGTTTCAAATGAGTTGTCTAGTTGAGAGGGACAAACTTCGAACCTTAGAACTAGCCAAAATCGAATTGCAACATTTAGAAAATTGGGATAAACATAATACGTCAACTTTAAACAAGAAAGGAAATGTGTGTATTGTTTTAAAATTTAGATATTTTATTTATTAAACATCTTTGTTATTTTAGCCTGCACTAGAAGGAAATTCCTTCAAGTCACCCCTTGAGATTCCAAGGAATTTTTGTAAGACGGGTGCCAATTGTGATAAGATATTAAGTAACCAAGACATAATAATAAGTAACCAAGAACAAATACTTAACCAAGTATCAGGTTTTAATGTTACTTTGGAAGAACTTATAAATAGGTATTATAAAATCGAGAAGCGCCTTGAAGCTCAAACAGCCCCACTAGTTCCATACACAAATGTATTGAGCCAATCAAATGATTTTGAACCGGTTAATTCAGAAGAAGACATTAATTTTCTAGAAGAGCAACTGAAGGATGAGCTGTACATGAATGCGTTAGTGGAAAAACTTAGTATCATTTGCGGGAGAACTGGAAAAGAACATGGATTTAACGCATGTTACACGTTGGTGGATAACTTATTTACCAGGCACTTCATGACGCTTTGTTCCTGGGCTGGAGGTTCTCGTAACGAAGTGAACAAAATTTCCTTTAAAACCTACAAGAACACCATCAAGTTATTTTTCAAAATAATACTCTTAGCGGACTACACATTTACCCATGAAAATTTGCAACAATTTTTTAAATCGGTGTTGAAGAATGCAACACGCCGTAATGCCGTAGCTGAAAATGCAAGAACTTCAAGATCTAAGAAAAGGCCCAAGAAGTTAGTGTATCACCTAAAAAGGGGTGAACGAGGAAGTGACGTGGACATTCAACTGAATACGGACATTGGTAATTTCGAAGGACAAGTCAGTGTGAATTATGAAGATTTTAATATTGATGTTTTAAATAACAAAAATTTTCCGACTGAGAATTAGGCACTTATAAATATTTAATCAGTTTGTTTTAAAACTATACCTTATAACTTTACTAATTTTGTATAAATAATAAATGTTTTTCCATTCCAACGTGCATTATTATAGATGAAAAATATAGTAAAAATATATTTGTATAGTAGGGTAAAAAAAATCTCACAATTAATATTAACAGCTTCTTTTAAGGTGCCCAGCAACCAATTTTGATTTCAGAAGTAGAAAAAAAATATATTTTTGGTGGCTTCTAAAATCAAAAAAATGGTTTCTAGGCACCTTAAAAGAAGTTTGTTTATCTACTTATGAGCTCTTAATTTTAATAGTAATATCCTCCTCATCGCAATTTTCAGTCTATGAAAAAAATCTCAAAAACACACTTTGATAGGAAATTAAATGCTCTACAAAAAGGTATCTTATGTTTTTTGGTTAAAGTTTAAAAAGTTTTTTCAAAATTTTATAACTCGCAGAGTTAGGATTTTTAAATGTGTAGTAGTACATACTTTTGTTAAAAATTAACTGATTCACAAAAAAGGTTTCCTTTCCTAAAAATAAGTATTGGGTTTGGCTTTATATTTATTTACACTACAAAATTTCATGACCATTTTAACACCAAATTAACACCATACATGGTCTATATCGATACAAACCAAAATGGTGTTAAATGTGGTTCGTTGGTCCGGTGTTAATTCAAATACTAAAATAGTGTTAATTTAACTTTCACACAGTTTTAAAATAAATTTTACCTGGTGTAAATTGAACTCCTTTTCAGTGTTAAATATTATGTGTTTGTGGTCAAATTAAATCATACTACACAGAAAAAAGGAAAGAAAAAGGAAACAGGAAGTTCCTTGACGCAGTACTAGAATATTACCAGTGGTATTATTCCAGAAAATGGAACCTTCAACTCGCTAGAGATAATGTTTTTAGTGCGTTCCACTAACTTAAAATATAAGTATTGACAGCTGTTTCCACCTATTTAAGGTCTCTTTAGTATCGAACAACTTGTAGTGTCACACCAAAGCAAAGGACTGCCTAAGCTTATATATTCTTCATGTAAGTCAACAGAGGCGAGATTTAAGAACATCATGTGATCCACACCGCCTTTGCACTTCTCAAATATTTTTAGATAAACACCGTTTTGGTGTTTGCTGTATATAACATTTTTAACCATAAATCATGGTGTTATATTAACACCACTTGTTGTTGGATTTTGACACCATTTTAAGATTACTCTTTACACCGCAGATATTTTAAACAGTGTATTAGTGGATACACAATGACTTTCATCGGACCAAGGTAAAAATAGAAAATTGCAATGAGGAGGATCTTATTCCTAATATTAGGAGCTCATACGTGGATAGGCTTCTTTTGAGGTGTTCAGCAAACAATGTTTCTATATTAGAAGTAAAACCGAAAAGAACAGAATAAAAATATAATGTAATATAATTCATAGTAAATGTAGTAAAAATTAAAAAGATAACAAAATACTGTCATCTAGAGTTTTCATAGTTGACTATATCACCTTTATAAATATTCAAATTTTGAGTTGATTTTTCATGTTTTGTCTAGTAATAAATGAGCTCCATTATTAGTATTTTGTTTTGTATAATTTTTAACAACAATTAATAGTACTAAGCGATAAAGTAAAAGGGTAGGTATAATTTTAATGTTTTATGTAAATTTTAGTGTATGTATGGAATTTAATTTATAATTTATTGTAAAATTATTTTAGGTCCAAAATTTTATTTGAAGAAGATCGTCCACTCTTCGCTTCTACCATACTTTTCTCAATGTTAACATCCCAATGTTCAATTTGTTTTAAAATGTGCAATTCCAAAGAACAATTAAAAAAGCACGCCAGAATCCACTATGAAAAAAAGCGCAGTTGTCCTACATGTCACAAACAATTCAAGTTTTCCAACGAGTTAAAAAAGCATATCGATGCCGTCCATTTAAATAAAAGATACAAATGCGAACTGTGCGACAAGAGTTTTAAAGTCAAATACTACTTGAAGCACCACCTTGTCACTCACACTCAGGAATACAAACTGTTTTGCGATGTTTGCAATAAAGGTTTTCTGTTTAATCACGAACTTGTATCGCATAAAAACAAAGTACACGAAGGTCTTGCTTTTACCTGCGAACGATGTGGAAAGACTTTTAAAGGCGAACAATACATGAGAGAACATGTAAAAACGCACGAAGCTGAATACCAAAAACCTACCTATCAGTGCAGTGAGTGTGGCAAAATATTAAATCACATACATTCCTATAAGAGACATTTAAAGATGCACAAAGGCGAGTTAAAAAACATATGCGACATTTGTGGACTTTCGGTTACCAGCGTATCTAGTTTAAGAAATCACATGAGAACGCATAGTGGAGAAAAACCGTACGCTTGTGATTTTTGTGAAAAATTATTTACTACATCAAAGTCGTTATTAGTGCATCGAAGGGTTCATACGAAAGAAAAACCGTTTGTTTGTAGTATTTGTAGTAGAGGGTTTTCCCAAAAAGGATCTTTAAATGTACACATGCGAAGCCATACTGGCGAAAAACCATACAAATGTACTGACTGTCAAAAATCTTTTACCACCAAACCATTGCTGAATTCTCATAAATGCAAAAAAGTAATTCCCATAAATGCAAAAAAATAATGTAGGTAGTAATAAAAATTATTTGATATATTAAATGTTTTTATTTTATTTAACAAAAGTATTTGGTTTACGAAGAATTTGTTCTTAGATAATTTCTTTTAGTTATTGTACTACAATAATTGTAGTGATAGTGAAATATCATAGGTCTAACTTTAAGGTAGTTGTCGTGCTGTAAGCATACCATCAGAAAATTTTAAATTTTCGTATACTTATTAAGGACATGACAATACAATTATCCTTAAAATTTGAAGTCGATTGACCGTCTATAACCCGAGATAAATTTAATTAAAAATTGGATAATTAACATGGATTGTATACGCTTTCTGTAGTTCTGTACCAGTTTCTTAGTTATAAAAAAACTAACTGTCAGAAGCTTTCAAAAAACTAACAGTCTTTTAATGTATTTTTGCCGAGTTTAAAAAAAAATAATTAAAAATTTTTGACCGTCCAATTGTTTATAAATAAACGTTTAAAGTTTAACAATTTGTAAAAAAGTATACATCACTAGTGTCAGATAAAAACAACTTGGCAACGCTGTACGCGAGTATAGATATTATTTCCGCAGTAAATTCAAACAGACTGATTCAGTCTCAAATATATCTATTGGTTGAGCATATGCGACGTTGCTGGATTAAAAATTATGAATCACTTAGCTACAAGCTCGTATACTTTTACGGTGCGTATAATCTAAAATTTTTTGACAATATTGTACCATGACAACTACCTTAAATTTATATATTTACCCGTGTCACAGGTATGCAATCTTATGTAATATCATATTTGCTGAGGAAAAGTGTACCCACGCATTAAAATTGAAATTAATTGATTTGATGTTTTCTTTTAGATCTGATTCATCCAATAAAAGTCGAAAGTACGTAAGAAAATGTCCTGGTCGAAGACTTTGTACTGTTGAACAACTTGAAGCAGCTAAAAAGTTGATAAAAAAAGGCCATAGTCAACGTAAGGCAGCAAGTATACTGGGTATTAGTGAAAGTACATTGCGGAAACGTTTGAGACTTAACTTTGCTGCAACATCTTTGGGTCGGTATAGGCCTACATTTAGCAATGCACAAGAAGTATAATTTAAACTATTTTTTAAATAAACGATACCTGTACTTTTATTTTAGGAGGAAATCTATAGCTATTGCAAATTTAACAATGATAGGATCTGCGGTCTAACTTTGGGCAAACTACGAAAAATTGCCTATGAATTTGCAGAAATCAATAAGATTGAAAATAAATTTGACAAGTCCAAAAGAATGGCGGGAAAGGACTGGGCACATGGTTTTATAAAACGTCACCCAGATTTAGATATTAAACCAACTGTAAAGGGAGAGTTACTTCAATTATACACTGAATATACACCCAAGCGACATATTTGTGATATTTGTGGAATCTCGGTTACTAGCGTATATAGTTTAAGAAATCACATGAGGACTCATAGTGGAGAAAAACCATTTAGTTGTGATTTCTGTGGAAAAGCCTTTACAACAATGAAATCGTTAAAAGTGCACAGACGAGTTCATACGAAAGAAAAACCTTTTGTTTGTAGTGTTTGTAATAGAGGATTTTCCCAGTCAGGGTCTTTACAGGTCCACATGCGGAGTCATACCGGTGAAAAACCATATAATTGTATAGGCTGTTATAAATCTTTTACTACTAAAACATTGTTAAAATCTCATAATTGTAAAATCTAGGTTATTCAAAAATATTTATTATTTAAATGTAAAAAAATAGCTTATAATTATTAAAAATTGTTTTTCTTTTCTTTTTAATTTCCCATATCCTGGTATATTTAAACTAACTTAAGTAAGTAGTGTTAATATTTTACGGCGAAGTAAACACCTGCTAACATTTAATTCATACTTAAATAAATTATATTAACTAAGCTATTTTCAGATGGAAGGATATATTATTAAACCAAGAATCGGAAGGCCAAAATTATCAATGTACCATATGCACTGAAATATTTGAATCGAAAAAGCAATTTTTGGAACATAATATGCAGTTATTTGGCGATTTGTATACTTGTTGTAAATGTCAGGAAAGTTTTAAAACGTGCGAGGAACTCTACGAACATCACGACTCCCATATAGATGAAAACGAATCGATTATTTTCCAATCTGAAGATGATAATGCGTTCGATGGTGAAGTGGTTGAAGAAGAGGTCGAGGAGTTAATACTGAGTTATAATGAGGAAGAAGTCAACGTCCAACAAGCAGCCCATGATGCAAACGAACTTTTGTATATTCTCGATGATTCCCAATGCGTAAACGAGGTGGTAATTCAGGAAGAAGAACCTGTTGTTGAAAGGAGATCTGAGAATGTGGCAATCGTAAACTTGGAGCACGGTTATATGATTCGTTCAAACTTGTTACATAAGCCTGAGACTGTAATACAGGAGGAGTACGAGGAGGACGAGGCTGGTGGCAGTATTGAAATTCTAGTAGACCAAGACATAGGGTTTAATAAATCGTCGCCATCGACTAGCAAAATCAATCAAAAGCCCAGAACCCAGTTGAAGCGTCGACATGAAGTGCCGGATTTTTCCGCGAGCAATTATGATTACATTAACGCAAACGATGAGATTGGCGTGCCGCACTATAAATGTCTGAGATGTGAACAACTTTTTATAAATAAAATTGTGTTTTTTCGCCATATCGAAAAAGGTAAATGTTACATTAACAACTGTGACGTGTGCAGTGAAACGTTCAACAAAAACAGTGACTTTTATTTACATTATGCTACGGAACACACTGACCGTGCCATATGCAATTTTTGCTTTAGAACATTTATGTACGAGAAGAATGTCAAGGAGCATATGCTCAGGCATTTGGACCAATTTCGACATAGGTGCGAAGAATGTAACAAAGGTTTTTATACTGTTAGGGAATATCGAAACCACTATAAAAATAGGCATATGGGAATTAGACACAAATGTGAAACTTGCAATCGAAGTTTCGCGGACGAATACTATTTCAAGAGGCACATTGCCACACACGCCAAAGCGAATAACATTACCTTTGTACAAATTCAGGAAAAATCATAAGTCGTTACCATTAATATGGTAGGGTATTTTTATAATTATTTTTTTGAACTGATTTTCGTTTTAAAATTATTAAGAAGGTTTCACTAAAACAATAGAGTTTTTAGTATGTAGGTTTGATTAACCTATACAAAATTTACACAAATTACTGCATAATTGCGTACTGTAGCAAAATTTTACTTTTTGGTTAATGTTTTTTATTTTTATTTGTATAATTATATGTTATACCAAACAAAAAAGTCAAATTATATATGGCTATGACCAGTGTCGATCCACGGGGTTGGGGGGCATTGTTGAAACACCCCACAAAACAGAAAGGTTAGGAAAATTATGGGAAAACAAAAAAACCCAGATGGATTTACCCTTACCCCCCTACTGGCTTATGATGTTATGCAGTAATTTTATGTTTTATTATTTTAGTAAAGAATAAAAGCAACGTTTTCATTGTATTAACATTTACAAAACTATATGGTGCTTTTAAGTAAAACAGTTTATAAAATAGGTTGTTGGACCAATTAAGCCGGGTGGTTCGTTTGTAGAGTTATCTGTGTCGCTTTATATTTTTGATAAAAAAAGCTCTTTATAAAGTCGAGTAAAGGAGATTTTTGTAAATACTGGTAAAAAAATAAAATTTAAGTTTATACTGGTATTTGTTTTGAAAGGCTTATCTTTAAGCATTTTTATTCGAGTTAAGTCTTTTAAAACATTTTAAAAAGTACAGCTCGAACTGCAATGGTATCCAATGCTTGTTTAGAAGTGACAATCGCTTTTAAACATGTTTGAACGTCATGTAATAGTTTTTTTATTAAAAATGTAATATCAGCGATATCTTCAAACGGAATTTTTTAAACCACACAATATATTAAATACATTTTAATGAAAGTTGATCATTTTTATTTATTATTGTGTTTCCGAAAATGCTTAATACAACATTACTTTTTTAAATATGCCTATTTTTATATTTGTTAAAACTCTCTGAACATGTTAAAAAAAAAATCGTACATAAATTGTATATATTTGTACATTTCTCATTGATCACTTTGTTTTCATTTTCTTATTAAAAAATATATACTTAAAACAAATAAATGGTTTTACTATTGTACTAGATAAAACAATAAAATTATTTTTCAGAAATTAGGTGAAGCCTTGATTACAGTGTCGGCTGGTGGATTTTGGGTACACCGATATCTCAGTTATTAGACATGGGACCCAAACCAAATTTATATGAGTTTATGCGCAAGCAGAATTTAAATTGAAGTTCTCGAAACAAAGTTCCTGCTCCCCAAATTAGTATAATTCAAATTAAAGTGGTGCAATATTTGTTTGACTGCAGAAATTTTTTAAAATTTATTAAAAAAAATTGAATATTACATTTTTTTTATAATCTGTAGTAAATTATAAATTGCACTACTTTAATTAGAATTATCTTAATTTGGGGGTAAAGGAGGCTGGGGGAGCAAACTAAACTACAAACTTTTTTTCGCAAACTTTAATTTAAATTCTGCTTACGCCGAACTTGTCATTATAAACTCATATAAATTTGGTGTGGGTCCCATGAGATATCGGTGTACCGAAAATCCACCAGCCGCCACTGCTAGATTATACCATGGTATGTCCTAATTAAGGTATGTGTATGAGGTACTAACAATAATGCATATAAATAAATTAAATAAAAAAACTAAATTATTATTATGTTTTTTATTATAATCCCATCTTTTGTAGCATATGTTAATTGAACCAATGTTTGATATATATTTTTGATATCTAATTAAACACATTTTTTAGGTCTAAAGTGAACCATAAGAGAAATAGTCCAAATAAGGCTGAAAATAAATATTATAAAAAACATCGAAATCATCCCATAGGAAAAAATAAAAACATTCCTGATATTATAGAAATTGACGATAGTTCTGGAAAAACATCCAAAGATTGTAATTTAAAGTTAAAGGATTTAAACATTATTCTAAAGCCATTGGTCTTAAAACGGGTTAAAAATATTTTTGCTTGTAATGTTTGTAATAAAATATTTTATCTTAAAGATAAATTAGAAAGCCACAAAGTAGAGGATCATTTTTCACCTAGAAGAAAGAACATTCTTTGTTATATTTGTTCTGCAAAATTTACCTCAGAAGAAGATTTATTGGCTCATAAGGTTATCCATTCTAAAGAGACGGATGATAAAAATGAAACCTCAGAAGAATCAATTTCCACTTCCTCGACGTCTGAAAGTGATAATACTGATGACAAAAATCCTTTTTTAAAAACAAAGCGAAGGAAAAGAAAGAGATCATCAATTCCAACGACAGCTTCAGTGAACGATAAAAGTCGTACTGTGGTTAACGCTAATGGTTTAACAACATATTTTTATACAGATAAAGAAGTATTGGATCACTTAAAAGTGCTTAAAACGGATAATTGTGTAATAAAATGTCTTGAATGCAACCTAAGTTACGATAAAAGTAGTTTCCTTCAGCATATAAACATGCATAATAAAGGCAAGGTTTATAACTGCCCTAAATGTAATGACTCTTTTGAGGACCCATATGAATTACGAAGACATGGTATACAAATACATAAGGATAAAATAACTGCAAGTAAAAGCACATTAGAAAAGCAAAATGAATTGGTAGATGTTAATAATGAATCAAAGTCAGAATCACAAGAAAACTTAACATGCGAGTTGTGTTATGATGAATTCAAAAGCAATAATGAGTTATTAAAACATATGGAATTTCATAGGGAATTGGATGGCAATATAACAGAAAATGAAAAGTTGGATGGCAGTACAAACCAAGGTGACATTGGGAATAAGGAAATAAGTGTTACAAATAAAACGGACGATCCAAAGCAAATAGGAAAAAAAATTGGAAAATGTATAGAACGCTATTATGTATACGATCAAAGAACATTATCTCCTTTAACTACAGGTGATAAAGTAAAACCTAGCAAAAAAGATCTAACCTCAAAAATTAAAAATGTATACGATCAAAGAACATTATCTCCTTTAACTACAGGTGATAAAGTAAAACCTAGCAAAGAAGATCTAACCTCAAAAATTAAAAATATTTTAAATACTACCACAAAACAAACAATGTTGATTGAACCAGTACCATTAAAGCGCAACACAAATAAAAAGACAATAAGAACATACGTAAAAAGTGATAATTTATCTAATTTAAAACCATCTAATAAAATTTTGTCTACATATGGGGTAAAAAAAGTAAAGAAACATTTGGATTCAAATACTTTACCAAGTACTTCAAATCAGCATCCAACTGTTTCACCATCAATTAATTTATTACCTATTTTAGAAACTGAGCCTACATCCAAAATTTTAAATATATTAAATAAGCAAGACGATGATAGATCTATTGTTAAAAAACAACAGCCTACTTTAGAAACTCAGCCATCTACGTCTGGGATTCAAAATACCAATGTTGGTTCAAAAACAACATTAAATCAGGAAGAAAGTGATATATCTAGTCTTAGATCTATTAGAACTGTACCAAGTGTTTCTGGGCAGCCTACCTTATCGTTTGGGATTCAAGATACAAATTTGAGTCCAAAAACAAAAATCTGTTCTACACCGAGTACTTTACATCAGCAAGATAGATCTGTTATTACCTATTTTATAAAACCAACTACAACCAGTGTTCCTTTGTCACAACCTATATTAATTTCTCAACCATCTACCCCTGTTACAAGCTCCCAATTTCAAAATACTCCACAAATCTATGACATACCGTCCAGTTCGTCTTCGACAACTGAAACCTCATCCATAATTCAAAAAGTTCCAAATGATTCAGAGAAGTTAACATGTGAAGCAGCAACCTCGGTGTTTACTAGCATGGATGCTTATCCCATACAATCGATTGAAAAACATAATAACAAAGACGATACTCAAGCAGTTTCCAGCATTGACAATATTTGCGGTGCTAACGAAAACGACAATGAAGTTCCTGAGGTGAGCGTATCAGAAAAAAATCAAAATCAATTTACCGTTCCCGTTATTTCTGAAGTTACGAGTATGGCGATTGATTCTATAGATCTGCTTGACGACGATGATGATAATAATGCTATGTCAACAAAACAAAGTTCAGAAAATGATAGTGATAATGGACTGGTTATTGATGACAATAATTACATCAATAAAATGTCCATTACTGATATTAAAAGTTTAGCAAACGATAATCCTACTTCTAAAGGTAAGAGTGCAAATACAGATATTGAAGAACTAATACAAGGACAATCTGTTGAAAACACAAGTGCAGTTGATGGTGCCGATAAGAATAAGAAAATTGAATCTCAAACTGCAACATTCCCCATGAAATGTGATTGTGGAATAGTTATTACTCAATATAAGGATTGGACAAAGCATTACATGTTTAATAAATCGTGTTCCATTGAAAACTGCGATTATAAAGCATGTAAAGAAACTTTTCTTAAATTACACTATTTAAAACATGACCGTCATTATTGCGATTATTGCGGATCTTTGCACGATAATCGAAATGTATACCTGACCCATGTAGCAGAAAATCATGTTTGCAAAGAGTGCCAAGGAAGAATTAAAGGAGATAAGGAATTGCATTTGTTAACTTGTTCCAAATATCTAATCGAACAACAAAATAAAATGCAAGTTAATAAATTACAAAACAATGAACTTGAACCTTTAACTACTAGAGAAACTGATAAAACTAAAAATGTTATTGAAAAACAATTAGAACCTAGTTTTAACAAAGAAGTAAATACACCAACTAAGGAAAGCTCAAAAAATGAAAGTTCTAATTTGCAAGATAAAGAAGAGAATGTGAATGAAGAGAATGTAAATGAAGAGAGTGGGAATGAAGAGAATGCGAAAGAAAAAGGTAAAAAGTGGAAATTCCCTATGAAATGTGTATGCGGTTTTTACATAGCAAAATATAGAAATTGGAGGAGACATTACAAGCAATGCACAGTTGATGGATGTAACGCTCTTCTCTGTAAGCCTGTTTTGCAAAAAATACATTATCTTAATGAACACAATATATACTATTGCTTTGTCTGTGATTTAAAGTCATATAATAGAAGTGCACATTTACAACACAATATAACCGAACATATTTGCAATAAGTGTAAAAGATATGTTGGAAAAAAAATGGAAGATCATTTACCGGTTTGCAAGGCCAAACCTGATATAAATTTAAATACGAAACCAACATCCGGTTCCGAGACAGAAAATTAGGATTAAGTTTATGTTTGTTGTAACTATAAACCATTGTTTTAGTTTTGTTTTAGTTTCAAGTTAATATTACGCTTATTATAACCAACACACAATTTTATTAAACTTATTTAGTTATTCATTTGTTATTTTATTTAAGGATTCCCTAATAAATTTGTTTGGTTTGTATTTTTGTATTTACCAAATTAAAATATATATTTTTAGACCTCTTTTTCATGATCAACTTTATTCAGATAACTTCAACATTGACTCGCTAAACGACAATAATTTAATCCAGTGTACATACTTCATGGAAATTGTGGATAACTGTAAACAAGGACAAATGAACCATGATATATTGGAGCCTTCCGTTGTAGATCAGCTAAACCAAACAGATGCTGAGTTACTAAACTTGCTTAGCACCGAAGAAGAATGTTCTGCCATTCTGCAAAACATTGCTACCAATGAACAATTCCAGCAGTTAATGAACAGTGAGCCCAGTTTTGTGGAAAACATTGAAATTGACCCTTTTATTAGTAGTAAACAATGTGATATTAATGTTAACGTTTCTCGAGAAGACACTGTTATTCATAGTATACCTTGTTTAGAACCAGAAAATAAATTCAAGTGCGACCAATGCGATAGAAGGTGTAAAACTAAGAAACTGTTGAAAAAGCACCTACTAATCCACACGCAGGAACGAAAGTTTTCTTGTGACTTGTGTGGAAAAACATTTAGACAAAGGTATGAGGTTACTGCACATAAAAAAAGTCACAACAAACCGACATTTCAGTGTGATATTTGCTCGAAAATGTTCATTCATAAATCCCATTTAACAACTCACAGGCGGAAGCATCTTAACGACTTTGTAGCTTTTTGCGAAGAATGCCAAATAGGATTCGTTACTCAATCCGCATATAAAACTCATAAAAATGTTCGGCATGACAGTTTAGCGCTTATTTGTGATATTTGCGGGGCCAGTTTGAGCACCCCGTCGGCTCTTAAGGAGCACAAGTTTACACATGAACCAGGTTATGGGCAAGAAAGGGCTCACGTGTGCGAAGTATGCGGCAAAAGTTACTTAACGGAGAGAAACCTCCGCAGCCACAAGAAAATTCATCAAAAAATTAAACCGTACATTTGCCGTATATGCGGAAAATCTGTTAGTAGTAAAACAATTCTTGAAACGCACGTAAAAATGCACACAGGTGTTAAGGATTTTTGTTGCCAAATTTGCCATAAACATTTTGCTTCGAAAGAATACTTAATTGTACATCAACGAATACATGGTGGAGATAAACCATACGAATGCACGTTGTGCGGGAAAAGGTTTACGCAAAAAACATCTTTGACTGTACATTTAAGATTTCATACGGGAAAAAAACCATACAAGTGCGAGTGTGGTAAAGGGTTTACAACTAAAAGTCATTTGATGAGCCACTATAAAACCCATGATATTGGTGGCGTAAATATTGAATTTATAACACATACTTTGCAATAAAAGTTAAACAAAAATGTTGTTTCCTTAAATCCTAATTCGATCACCATCATATTTTGTTTTATCTGGATTAATATTCTGGTGAGTAGTCACTAGCAAAATGTTTGGTTTATTAATTACTTTTTGTTTTAGGGTTAATATTAATGCAATTGAATACAACGATGTCAAAGATTCTGAATATAGTAAAAATTCATCTTACCAATGTAAATTATGTTCAAAATCATTTTCTACAAAAAGTGACTTTCGCAACCACAACCATCTGTCCTTTAAACGATTTTTGTGTGAAAATTGTCCAAAAACTTTTAAAACCAATAAAGAACTAAAAAATCACATGAAAACGCACGATGAACGCAGAAAAAAGTTCGAGTGTCACTTTTGTAACAAAATTTTATCGTCAAAGGGATGTTTAAAAACTCATATTAAAAGACACAACAAAGAATTCAATATAAAATGTGAATATTGTGAGGCAGGATTCTACTCAAACCACGAGTATTCACTGCATGTTGGTGCAAAACATGGCCAAAGCGATTTCGTTTGTGATATATGCAACAAATCGTTTTACGACAAAAATTACCTCGCCCAACATAAGCTCACACACGAAGAAGGTTACAAGCTGCCGAAAGTTAAATGCGAGAAGTGTCAGAAATGGTTTCTATCGGAAAGACTGTTAAAAATTCACGAGAAAAGATACCACTCCAATATTGATATAAAGCATATCTGCGATATTTGCGGGAAAAAATTATGCTCCACTACAAGCCTTAAAAATCATCTTATAGTTCACCAAGGACTGAAACCGTATGTGTGCCAAGTGTGTTGTAGAGCTTTTGCAAACAAAACCACATTATCCGTTCACTCCCGAACGCATACAGGAGAGAAGCCATACAAGTGTCAAATATGTGGGAAAACTTTTTCGCAAAGCAGCGCCCACAAAATCCATCTCAAGAAGCATCGCGGCGAAAACAACTACATGTGTCAGATATGCAATTCATCGTTTGTCACAAAGGCTGTATTAAAGTTTCATATAAAAAGTAAACATAATATTGTTATGGATGGATTAGATTCAAAATAAGTTTTTGGCTGTACTCTCTAAAAATGAAATAGTCAAAATTCTACTAATTGAATTAGTACCAGCAGTTTTTACTAATAAAATAGTCGTTTTTACTTTTAAATATATAGATTACTCATTATCTTTGACTATTTCTGAAAGTTAAAAGTAGCTTATTTCTTTAATCGTTTTGCGGCCAACAACAAAGTATTATTTGAATTAAATGCATATAGGCTCCGTGTTTAAATGGTCCATAAGAATAAAGATGCAAAAAGTTTAGCTCAAAACAGCAGCATAAATAGTCCATAAAACAAAGGTTGTAGAAGGAAAACTCGATGGTAGTCGGGTTTTATTTTTTTTATGTAGAGTCAGGGATGCTGATAATGAATCAAGAATATTCCCCAAAAATTTTTTTCCGCGTCCCCTAATTTCATCCCCTGAAAGGGGGTTCTTTTTTTTTCAAAAAATCCATCCTACCCTAGATTTTAAGATACACTTATTCTCGTTACGAGTTGTTTTTAAATTATTTTCATTGCAAGAACCCCCTGTACATTGAAAAGCAGTAACTTTTGAAAAAAGTCTAGTGCCTCAAAAAATCGTCAATTTGGTTATGTTTGATAACCATAAGGTTTGGGATCGATTACTTTTAAATATGGGCTATAGTAAAAAAAACAAAAAAGTGATTTTGAAAGCAACGCTCAACTTTGCACACTGCGCATAGCAAAAGGGCACATCATATAGGTGCGCAATGGGGTTTAACGTGTGCCTTATTTAGTACATAATAATAAAAGTATTAGAGGTCAAATTCTAAAAAAATGCACGGTTAGCGAGTTATGAGCCAAAAAGCAAAAAAACTCCCCTTTCGGGGGATGAAATTATGGGACGCGGAAAGAAATTTTTTAGGAATATTCTTGATTCATTATCAGCACCCCTGACTCTACATAAAAAAAATAAAACCCGACTACCATCGAGTTTTCCTTCTACAATGTTTGTTTCCTGGACTAAAATAATATATTCAACTTTAAAATATTATGAACAATATTTATTGACAAATAAAATTTATTTTTATAGGAGCGACTGATAGCCACATTGGTTATGACAACAGCTTGACAGACCTGAGTTCAATCCCCGGCTGGGTCAAAACTTTTTTAAATTTAAATCTACTAATTTGACTATTTCATTCAATAGAATTTGACTAATTATTAGTGATTGCTGTTTCGCTATGACAATTAGTCAAATATGACTTAAAATTAGTTATTTTTGAGTAATTAATTTTAAGAGAGTACATTTATTATAAAAATGTAATTAATGTTTATTTAATATATCTAATACATCGACATATGTAAGTTTTCTTAATATTAAATCTATTACACAGAACATCAAAATTCCTCCATTACACCAGGTTTTCGAGAAATCTAAACCCAAAAGTTACATCACGAAATAATTTTCCAAGGTCGCTTTCGAATTCAGCTCATCAAAACTTGATTGTTTGTGGACCTGTTATTGAATTACATAGATTACATTCTGAATGTGGATTGTCATCAGCCGACCCAGTTTCTTTAATTTGTTTGGATTAGTGATTGAAAGCTCAAAAAAAGTACCAGAAACTAAATTATCAAATTACTTTTTTTGAAATAGCATATTACAAGTAGAAAAACACAAAAATGCTGTGGTCAGTATTTTTACAAACAGGTGAGTAATTAATAAGTTTATTAAAAAAAATACATAGGTAACTAAATGGTTTTTGAGGATTAAAATCAGTTTTAAAAATTGTCAATAAAAAGCTTATTTTCAGGTTAATAATGGTGTCAAATGGTGAAAAGTTTGAATACAAAATATCATGGCGTTTTGGATATGAAATGATTCATTGTTTGCTTTGCCCGAAAGTTTACTCAGACAAAAAACCTTTTAGAAAACACTTATACACGCATATTTCCACTAGACTGTTTGAATGCGATGTCTGCAAGAAATCATTTAAAACCAAATGTGAACAAAAGGCGCATACTAACAGACATATGTCGTCTGGTAATAAATATAAATGCGATAGCTGCGATAAAGTATTGCACAGCAAACTAGCTTTGGAAAACCACATAAGACGACATAAGAAAGATTATACCGTTAAATGCGATTCTTGTGAATCAGGATTCTATTCCAAAGGCGAATATCAGAAGCATTACAATCGTAAACATCTTGGAATAAGCGAAAATATCTGCGACGTTTGTAGTAAATCGTTTTACAATAAACACGGATTAATGGAACACAAAAAATTACACGAAGACAAAGAACCTGCGTTTCATTGCGAGTTTTGTGATGCCAAGTTTGTAATTCAAAAATCCTTTAAGCGCCATTTGACTGTGTATCATTCAGGAGAAGGGCCAAAATCGTACATTTGTCATATATGCGGAAAATCACTGTCATCAAAATCTTACCTTACAACGCACATCCAAATTCACGATGGAATCAAACCGCACAGTTGCCCCACTTGCAATATGGAATTTACAAGCAAAAATACACTAATTTCTCATGTAAGAACACACACAGGCGAGAAACCATACGAGTGTGAAATTTGCAAAAAAGCTTTTTCCCAAATAAGTGCACGAAATCTTCACTTAAAAAAACATTTGGGAGACAAACCATTTAAATGTGAACTATGCGATGAATCTTTTGTATCAAAAGGAGTTTTAAATATGCATAAGAAAACGAAACATAAAATAATTGCCACACAAGCCAAAGTTAAAATTATGCAATGATAAGGTCGAGGGAGTACTAATTTAGTTTACTCTATTTTGCATTACAAAACTTTGTAATAATAATGTTTAATGCTTTTATTTTTTTGTTATCATTTTCATTGATATTTTATGTAAAATTTAAATTGATTAATAAAGCATTTGTTAAAAAATTGTGTTTTTTTGTCAATTTAATTAAATTAAATTTTATTTATAGACCTCCTGAGATGTATGTTGTAATAATAACAGATAGGTCTACATTAAGATGTCGCCTTCCTAAGGATTTTGTTTTTTTAATAGTCATATTCAGACGAGAATTGATCTTCATATGTATTAGGTATATATTCGGTTTTAAGATTATGTTTATAATATCGTTTTTACATTAATCCAATTGGAACCGGAATTCCGACCGAAAACTCTAAGGAAATATTCCAGTAGCTGAAATTATAAATAACTTACAGGTCACCGTAGAATTTTGTTAAAAGTGAATTAACAAAAGCAGAAGCCAGTTTTATAAATTTATAAAACTGGCTTCTGCTTTTGTTAATTCACTTTTAACAAAATTCTACGGTGACCTGTAAGTTTTCATTTTCTTAGCTGATTTCGATCTAAACGCAATAGATGGAACCACTCTTTCTATGTAATTTTAATGTATTTTCATTATTGTGTATAATAAGTTTTGAACTGCGTGCAAATATTAAGTCTTTTATATAGGCTTATGAGTTTTATAATATGAAAATTGTTATACGCTTGAAAAAAATAATCTATTACTAACGTAATAACGTAACATAAAAAGATGTCAAAATTCTAAAATTGAAAACTCTAGAAGAACATTTTAAACACTACATATTCTGCCCCGTAGGCGGGACGGAATGGAGTAAAGGACACTCTTTTTTAATACGATAATAAAAAAAAATTGTTAAGCATTTATGTTATTTTTTTGTATTTTGTTTATAATACTTTAATAAATCGTTCTTCTTTTTTTTGAATTTGTACAACGTCTCTACCCTACTAAAAATAAATTTTAAACGTTAGAGTCCCCATTCCGCCCCGGTCTCCCCTACTTGTACCATGTAACAATTTAACCTTGAAACCTTACTAATCAAAATAATAAAACGTGATTTTTAGTGCGATGTTCAACTTTTATTTGTAATTAAGTGTATAGCAAATAAAAATTAGTAAAAGTAATAAAATATGCAAAAAACATATACTTATAAAGTTATTTTGTTTCTTAATTGATTCAACAATGCTTTTATGTAGGTATTCCTTATCTTCAATACACATCCATTTATAAGAAAATTATATATGCTTCAACTTATATTCTGGAACCGTAGCTTATATAAATAAAATCTTTCACAGTACTGTGACACGTGTCACTTAGAACTACATGAAATTAACGATTATCCTGCTCTCTAAAAATGAATTAGTCAAAAATACTAATTTAATAGTTATTAGTGGCTGCTTTTTCACGTGTAACATGGTATCCCAAAATTTAACAGCCAATTCTTATGTAAAATTGTCCTCTGAATCCGAAAATACCGTCAAAAATTATGAAAGTGTAGCAGTTTTTGAGATGTAGTCAATTCAATTTTAAATGGAAAATTGAATCTCAAAAACTGTTCTACTTTTTTTTAACTTTTAACGACATTTTCGGATTCAGGAGAAAATTTTACATAAGAATTGGGAGTTTGGGATACCATGGTATTCCATGGTACAAGTGAAAAAGCAGCCACTAATAACTATTAAACTAGTCATTTTTGACTAATTCATTTTTAGAGAGTGCTATCTTAAGGTAAAGAGAAAAGATTTGCAAACTGAACGATGCAGTTTTTTTACATGCGTTGGGCATATCTTAAATTTGACTAAAAGTGTACTTAGAACCCTGTGGAACTCACGCGACCTATAATTAAAAATATAAGAACACATTTTTTGATATTTTATTACTTATTTTAAATAGTCCTTCCCTATTTATTTGTTATTTAATTTTTTTTTAATGTATGAGTTTCTTTAGTTTATTTTCTAATAATTACATATTTTAGGTTATCTGTAGAAAGACATGGAGAAAGGTTTTATTTTAAAAAATATGTAGATGATTTAGGAAAGCTTGTCATGGAATGTTTAATATGTTCAAAGCAAGTTTCAAATTTAAGTGGTTTTAAAATACACGTTATAACTCATCTTACCAAAAAACCATTCAAATGTGAAATATGCGGAAAAGGATTTAAACGACACAACGATCGCTATATCCACATGAGGGTGCACGCAAAATCTCAATATCAGGCGCAATGCGAGATCTGTAAGAAAACATTAAGTTCCCAACACCATCTGAACAATCATATAAAAAGACATAATAAAGAGTTTGATTTTACCTGTGATAAATGCAATATGGGATTTGTTACTCGGTCAGAGTTTAAAACCCATTGTTATAAAAAACACTCGGGAATTAAGCATACTTGCGTTAATTGTGAAAAAACGTATTGCGACAAACAAGCATTACTGGACCATATAAGAACCGTTCACGAAAATGTTGAGCCAGAGTTCCATTGCATGTTGTGCGATATAAAGTTTAAAATAAAAAAACGTTTAAGATATCACAATGACAAACATCATTCAGATAAGGTGAAATCCTATATATGCGACATATGTGGGAAATCCGTATCTTCGCCGCATTCCCTCAGAACACATATTCAAATTCACAAAGGAATAAAACCGCACTCTTGTCCGTCGTGCGACATGAGATTTACAACGAAAAACACACTCAGACTGCATATAAGAAAACACACCGGTGAAAAACCATACGAATGCAAAGTATGCAAAAAGAAGTTTTCCCAACAAAGTTCGAGAAACCTTCATCTTAAAAGACATTCTGATGTAAAACCATTTACATGTGATATCTGTGAAGGAACGTTTGTGTCACAGGGAGTGTTAAATATGCATAAAAAAGCTGCACACAAAATCATTTTGCCACACAGCAAAATTATTAAAACGTAGATAAAATTTTTTGTAATAAACATTTTAAATAAATATTTTTTATAGTATAGGTACGTTTAGTTCTTCCAAAACTATGCCCTTTTTAATCAAATTTCTTATCTAATAAAAACGTATTTTTAGGTTCTTTTTATTTGCAAATGGAACAATGTTTGAGTTCAAAAGAGTTTGTGATTCACTTGGACAAAAAGTTATGCAATGTTTTATATGTTTAAAGGAGTTTAAGAAGAAAAACCATTTATTGCGACATTTTTCTGTTCATCTTCCAAACAGACCTTTTATATGCAAAGTTTGCAATAAAACATACAAAACAAGCAATGCACTCAATATACATGCTAAAAGGCATGTTCAAAATAAATTTCAATGCGAAAGTTGTCAAAAATTATTGTGCGATGAAGCCTCACTAAAACTTCATATAAAAAGACACGTGAAAGATTACGCTATTAAATGCGATGAATGCGATATTGGATTTTATACAAAAGGGGAATACGACAATCACAATAACAGAAAACATTTAGGAATCAATGAAAATATATGCGAAGTGTGCAGCAAATCATTTTATAGCAAGCATGGTTTAATGGATCATAAGAAAATAATGCACGAAAAAGTCGAACCAATATTTTATTGCGAACCATGTGACAAAAAGTTTGTTTTAAAAAAACGATACCAATACCACCAAGATAAATATCATTCCAACAAGGAAAGCCAATCATCAGTATGTCACATTTGTGGAAAATCATTAAGTACAAAGGAATATCTTCGAACACATTTACTAATCCACAAAGGAATTAAAACACACACTTGTCCGACGTGCAATAAGAGCTTCACCACGAAAAACACACTTACTCTTCATATAAGAAAACACACCGGCGAAAAACCGTATGAATGTAAAATATGCAACAAAAAATTCTCACAGCCAAGTGCACGAAATCTCCACCTTAAAAAACACTCAGATGAAAAACCGTTTAAATGTGAAATATGTGATAGCTCGTTCGTATCACAAGGAGTCCTGAACATGCATAAGAAAACCTCACATAAAATAATCTTGACTCATAACAAACTTGTTAAAATGTAGATGCCTTTGACCAAAATATGTTTATCTTAATATTTGGATATTTAGTTATAAATGTGCTGATACATGGACTAATTTTACCTAAAATGGTGATTGCCTAAAATATTTTTAATAGTACTATTATAGTATCAATAAATCAAATTCAGAATAAATATTTTTTAAATTTCATCAAACAATTTAAAAGGTCTTAAAGGAAATCTTCTATAACAGGAGCCAGACTATACAGGGTGTCCCATAATTAGCATGCATTACTTTAACAGCAGATTCTACGTACAAAAATAAGAAAAAAAGTTCCTATAAAAGTAGGTCGGGAAATGATTTCCAAGGGAGCTACAGCCCCCGAAAGAGGAGCCCCTGAAGATGGTTTCAAAACTGTGAAAGTGTGAAAAGTGAAATTTTGGGATATAAACTTTTTATAGCCAATAAGTTGGAATAATAACATATTCAAAATTTTCATAAGGAATGCGTCAGATAGAAAGGGAGTGGGGGTAAAACTACCCTACCTTTTTTGTACGTATCTTGTGCTATGATTTGATATCAGATCATAAAATTTCAGAGTTTTACACATAAAAAAGGTCCTCCTGATAAACTTCGATAGCATCCACCGTTTTCGCTTAAAATCGATTTCAAAATTACCTTACATAGCATAAAAATTCATAATGAAATCACAACTAGAGAAAAAGATTCAGCGTAGGCCATGGACAATTTTTAAGCATGGCCATGGACAATTTTTAAATACCCTGTCACATATTTCATGAAACTGTCACCTGTCTTAAATAATTTTTCCTAAAGATGGCAGCTGTGTTCCATGGCCTACTTCTGAATTTTTCTCTCTTAAGAATTCATTTTGATGTTTTATGCTATGCGAAAACAGTGGACAATATCAAAGTTTAACAAGAGGACCTTTTTTGTGTGTAAAATTCCGAAATTTCATAATCTGACATCAAATCCTAGCACGAGACACGTACAAAAAGTTAGGGTGGTTTTAACCCCTATTCCCTATCTATCTGACCCACCCTTCATGGAAATTTTGAATTGTTATTATTACATCTTATTGGTCATAAAAAGTTTGATTAATTCTCAAAATTTTACTTTTCTACCTTAAACGGTTTTGGATATATTAAATAAAAACCATTTTCAGGGGCTCCTCATTTAGGGGCTGTAGTTCCCTTAGAAAGCATTTCTCGGCCTATATTTATAGGAACTTTTTTTCTTATTTTTGTACGTAGAATCTGCTGTTAAAGTATTGCATGCTAATTATGGAACACCCTGTATAATATAAACCGGACGTGATGAAGCAAGTCTTGAATGGGATTCGGGTACACCGCATCAAAAAAATGTGGGTTTATATTTTATATCATTTTACATTTTTTGATGCGCTGAACCCGAATCCCAGATTTGCTTTATCACGTCAGGTTTATATTCATGATTAAAATTATGAATCAACACACAAATGAACACGTTGGTATTAAAATTGATTGCAAACAATGTGGAGAGAAATTTTATACAAAAAAAGAAGAAACTGCACCACGTGAAAAAATTTCACACCAAGGAATGTAGAGAAGACAATATATCATAATGTTATGTGGCAAAATGTATTTGAAAGCAAAACTCATTAAAAACGCATTAAAAAATCCACGAAGGAAAAATCACAAAAAACACACTGGGGAAAAATCATAAGAAAACTTTTTCGCAACCAAATTCATTTAAAGGTGATATCTGTGACAGTGCATATGTCTCTCATTGTGTGTTAAATATGTACAAAAAATGTTACTCCAACTAACAACAAACCTAGTGTTTAATTCTTAATTCTTAATTTAATTCTTAATAAAACTTTGTATTGTACATCTTTCTTAATACATATATTTTTATATTTTTATTTATTGTTTAATTTAATTTATACACCTTTAACGTACATTATTGCTTGGGGTTCATTTACATTATTGCTTAATAAATAAAATTTTTAGGTTAATTTTAGTATCTTATGGAAACAAGTTTGAGTTTAAAATTATCCTAAACTCTTTCGGGGAAGAATTTATGCAGTGTTTAATATGTTTTAAACAGTTTAGGACTAAGAAACTGTTAAGAAGCCATATGACTACTCATATGATAAGTCGACCTTTCGAATGTGAAATCTGCAAGAAAACATTCAAAACGAATGTGGAACGTAATATGCATGCAAAAAGACACACACAAAATAAACTTCAATGTGAAGTTTGCAATAGAACTTTATCTAGCAAAGCTTCTTTGGACATACATTTGAAAAGACATAGAAAAGAATTTTTATATAAGTGCAATGAATGCGATGTTGGATTTTTTTCTAAGCGGGAATATGAGCTTCACAACAATAGAAAACATTTAGGAATTGAGGAAAATATCTGTGACATCTGCAGCAGATCATTTTACAATAAACAAGCATTAATGGACCACAAGAAGAATATTCACGAAGAGGGTGAGCCAGAGTTCTATTGTGAGTTGTGCGACAGAAAATTCGTCCTTAAAAAACAGTATCGTCGACACCAAGCTGAACATCATTCAAATAAGGAAAGCAAGTCATTTATTTGTCATATATGCGGGAAATCCTTATGCTCAAGCGAATATCTTCGTACTCATATCCGTATCCATAAGGGTATAAAAATGTATACATGCCCGAGTTGTAACACGAGTTTTACCAGTAAAAATACGCTTACTCTGCATATAAGAACGCATACAGGAGAAAAACCTTTCGAATGTAATATCTGCAAAAAGAGATTTTCACAGTTGGGAGCACGAAATCTTCATCTTAAAAAACATTCTAATGAAAAACCGTTCAAATGTGAGCTATGTGAAGCAGCTTTTGTTTCAAATGGGGTTTTAAATATGCATAAGAAAAATGCGCATAGAGTTATCCTGGCCAGTCTTAAGCTTAGTACAGTTTAGAAATTGTTTTATTTGATAACTAAAAATATAATATAATATTTATGGGACGCGCTTCGAGGAAAGAGACCTAGCATCCATAAATCGATTTCTGGATTATGCTCCTTACAGATTAATTGCCTTGAATATTTTGCATATAACAACGCATTATTTTCTTCATTTGTGCTGCGGTCTGGCGCAGTCGCCTGTTCTTTTCTTCTCTAAAATGAGACACTTTGGTCCCTTTTTTTGGAGCGCGTTACATACATTATATGAAGGGGTAAGAAGCAAAAGGGACAAGTGCAAAAATAAGAAGTGGAGTTATTGACTTAAAAGTTTTTGCTATATACAAAAATCTGGATACATGTTTTAATATTGTTGTTTGCATCAATTAACATGCAAAACTCTTACAATTTTCACGTTATGAGAAAATTAAAAAAAATTGAACTACAAAATTCTGCACTATGTTAAAATGCACTTGTACGCTTTTGCTTCTTACCCCTTTAGAATCTTATACAAAGATATATTCTTGTCTGATTAAAAAATGTATTGTATTCGGTACCTACAAATGTATTATATCGAGATCTTTTTTCATGTATAATTTTACTGTTAATGTTTTATATTTTTATGATAAAAAGTAAATATTTTGTACTTAAACATACCTAATTAGTTTTATTTGAGATTAAAATTTATCAAAATTATTTTAGATTTTTTTTTATAAAATTATGGTAGATCACTTTTTTTCTTAGATGGATCAGTGGTAAATTTATTCGAGAAGGTCTGATTCAAAGTTATCAAGATTTATTCAAGATGTTAATTTGAACAATACACATAATGGAGTCCCAGTTAAAGTAGGCACATTTTTCTTGAAATTTTGTTCTACTATCAGCATATCTGGAGATATCCAGAATATTTTCTCACTAGTGGCCTTCTTTAGGTCTTGTAGGGTTCGAGGACGATGTTTAAAAACATCTACCTTAAGGTACCGCTATACGAAAAAGTCGCAGGGGGTCAAATCAGGGGATCGCCGGGGTACCGATCGCGTGATTCATTAATATTGCAAACAAAATTAGGATTAGAAGTTGGTATCATTCAATTTTAAAATAAAAAACTGTCAGAATATTTTCCGATTGCGTTTCCGAAAATGAAACTCAAATTTAAGCGGCCTATTATAAGAAAAAAAACCGCAACATTCACCAAGCTTTCCATAAAATGATGAAAAATCTTATCAAAGACAAGATTAACTTGACAGATGACCTAACCTCAAATTCAAAGACCCTTTTGGATCTCACACCGCAAAAAATTAAAGAATGCAAAGCACGCATCGCACAGCAAAAGTAACTAGGTAACCAGAATCTATAGTTTGGGCTACCGAACGTGAATTGATATTATATATAATTTTCATATTTTTTTTCCAGATGAAATAATTAAAACTATACCCTCTTTACAGTTTTTTGTATATTGCTTCGTTTTCGAGAAAACAAATTTTTCTTCACTCTTCTGAAGCATGTGAAAAATACACAAATGGTCAAATGCGAAGTTAGTTACATTGTTATTTTTAGGGTTTTTATGTAGAAGTATTAGGAAGAATTAGATATTATTTTTATTTAAAATATTTTCAATATCTCAGAAACAAAGCGTTACCAGAAACTAGTTGATAGGTTTGTTAGTTTTTTCCTATTTTCGGGCTTGGAATCTCATTCAAAATAATTTTAGTGATGCAACGACTATTCACTCAAAGAAATAACTTTGGTAACGACAACAATTATATTTAGTTACATATATTATTGTCGCAATAACTAAATATATGGTAATGCGGATTAATAAAAAATATATTAAGTTGGTAGAATAACAATAAAGTTATTGTTGACATTAGTATTTTTGAATTACAAATATGTCATTGCTGCGCTAACTAAATATATATTGTTGAAAAAATATATAGTCAAAACAAATATAGAGAATTGCTGAAAACATTATATTGTGATGGCAACAATAGGGTATTTTTGGTTGAACTGTATAACATCTAGCCACAGGAACAATACAGTATAAGTGGGATAAATTTATCCTTTTCTCTCTCATACCGATATCGATCAATTACTTTAGCGATATCATTACCGTTTATAATCGTGCACTCTGTAAAACTAGCCTAATTTCATGTTGCCGCAACAATCCGTTCGATTAATCGAATTAAATCGCGGGTATGAAAACGAAGACGCGTACTTCGACCGACGCGACACCCACGCAAGAAGCAACAATTAGCATGCGAAATGGCCGCAAAGTGAGGTATCTCTTGAAGTTTCTTGCTATTTACCAGTTTAATTCGGAATTATTCCTATTCTACATGTTATATTTTTGTATAAGCGTAAACGTCGTGAACTGTAAAGTTATTAGAAACAATGTAAGTGTTAAAATGGGAAGTTATACATGTAAAAATGCATTTGTAAGCGATTGTTTAAGTAAGTTTAACCTCAATCATTTGCTAGAAACGTTTCAAGGTAAGTACCTACATATGTTCATTAGATGCACAAGTATTAGGTATACTCTAGGATAATTGAATTCTTGTTTTTAAGTTTTTAATATTATTTTTAAACTTACCTACCTGTCTTATTTCTCAAGACAAAGTTTTTCACCCATTTTTTTAAGTTTAAAAAACTAGGTTCCTATTTCTTTTGTATTTAGGTATTTGAAAAATAAACTTTTTAAATATTTTAAAATTGTTTTTGTTGATCCCCTGTAGGTATTTAAAATGCATAGGTAAATTACCTAAGGTAATTCTAACAATACACATTGTTGGAAGAGCAATTTATATTCAAATATATATATATTTAATACCTACTTATAAGATTGTTACTGGAAGCATGCAGCTTTGGTAGGATAAGCAATATAATATAGTTAAAAAAACAATAATATTTGTAATACAACAATAACAATTAACAATATTTTTATAGTACATTTAACTATATGTATGGTTGTGCCTATATCAACCATATTATATTGCTACATAAAACATATTTTTGGTTGTGATAGCAAAAATTTCTCTCAGTGTTGTTATACGATTACGATTATAAACGAAAGGTAAATAATATTTTTAATAAATATTATACAGGGTGCACCAAGTATCCTTCTATAGGTATCTTTTTTATTTGAACAAGGTCGGTTAAATTAAAGAAAAATTGCGTAATTACATGTATTAAATAAAAAATTGGAAAAAAATGCAGCGGTTCTCAAAATATTTAAAAAAAACTTAAAACCTTAGCCATAAATCTTTTGTTATTCCTGGGAATTTTGAAAAAAAGTAAGTTTTATAAGTAAAAATACACATTTATCTACCTTTTTATTCAATTTGGGATTTTTTTCGCCTACTAGATTTTGAGTTACTAGCACAATCTTTTGTTTTTCCAATGGCCGCCATATTGGAATTTTACACGGTTAGTTAAAAAAATCAAGGAATGCAACTATGTATATAACTACCTAAGTTATGGTCGCCATTATTATAACAAAAGAGGGTAACTCAACATAAAGTAGCGAAGAAATTGGATGAAAATGTATAGGATTACATGTACAATTTCCTTTTTTTTATTTAATGAAATAACGAATAAAAGATTTTTAGTTTTTTTTTTAATATTTTGAGAACCGGTGATTTTTTTTTCAATTTTTAAATTTCACTTTAATAGCCTTGTTACGCAACTTTTTTGTAATTTCCCCTTCAAATAAAAAAAAACCCAGAGAAATACATAATATGTATATTACCTAATATGTATATTAGGGTGTTTCAAAATAAGGCAATATTTTTTTTGTTTCAAATTCATGTGAAATTCTCGCCACTTATGCTAAAAATATATATATATTATGCATAATCATGAAAATAGGATTTTAGACACTTATATATAACTTTTGAACTGTAGGTGATAAAAAAATTGTTTGGAGAGCATTATAAGATCTTTAAAATTGCTAATTGACTTTTTCTTCTACGAATAGTAGTTTAGCCGCTAAATGTAAAAATATCAATTTTTTTATAATTTATACGTTTCAACGTTAATAAAAAAGAAAAAGTTGAATCTACAGACTGGACTCTGATTTTTTGTAGTTAATTTAATGCTAAAAAAGGACCAGTGATTGTTTATCAAAAAAAAGTTCTACATAGCATGCAGGCAAATAAATCTTAAAAAACTATTTTTTCATCTTAAATCAATGGGAAAACTTTAAATTCGATGATGGATATTTTAAAATTAATATTAATAGCTCAAATTTTGGCAGATTTTTTTTAGCATAAGTAATAGAATTTCACATGAAGTTGAAAAAATAAAAGTATTGCCTTGTTTTGAAACACCCTAATGTATATTATAGGATACTTATATATATATAATAATAATAATATTATAATGCATATATTTTGAGTCAGAATCTAAAGTGGGCCCAAGATTTTTCATGTAATCATGAAAATTTAAAAAGCCATACGGATATTAAGTAGTCTTGAAAACATGGCATTTGTTTTTACTTAGTTATTTTACCGATTCAATATTTGGCGATATTTATTTAGAAAATTATTATGTGTACAATATTTATACAAAAATTCTGAAAATTGGTGTGTATGATTAGCAAAACTTTACATGGACGCAATAAACTATTAAAAACAATTTATTTAAGCAGCTTTAAAATACAATAATCTTAAAATTAAATTTCTCAAAGATCATATTAACTATCAAGCAGAACTAACTTTTTTATTCAAATTGTTTACATGCACTTCCTATGTTCTATTTATTATTTTTTTTGTTTTATTTTTTTTTGTCAATATTCAAAACTAAAATAAATGTTTTTTCAGGTTTTTTTTGCACTATTTTTCTATAGATAATCAGCAAAATCGCAGAATAATAGAATCGGTACGATTAATCGTTGCATCAGTACATATTATTATGCAGAATAGTGTAAAATATTGTTTTTAGCACCTGTTTTAAACAAATCTGCTTAAGGTAACTAATAAAACCATATTTTTTTAGATTATTCTTTTTTCTTAACGAAAAAAAATATGAATATGAACTGGTCATAAATAAATCAGGATATGCTACAATGGAATGTCTAATATGCAGCAAAACATTTTCTACAAAATTTTACTTTGCAAATCACATCGAAGAACATAATGTAATTTTTCAATGCGAACTAGGAAAAACCTGCAATAATAAAGAATCTTTAAAACTCCATGCCAACGAACACAATGCTAATTACGAATGCAAATTCGATCAACATTACAATACTAAGCATTTAGGAATCTATAATTATATTTGTGATGTTTGTGAAAGATCGTTTTCAAGCAGAGCCGGGCTGAATTACCATAGAAGATCGCACGATCCTGCTGATAAAAAATACTCCTGCGATTATTGTGGTAAACAATACACAACAAAATATCATTGCTCTCAACATGTTAAAAATAGACATGAGAATCCTAATGGGCCTGAACTATTTATTTGTCATTTGTGTGGAAAATCTGTAACTTCAAAAGCTTATCTAGAAACTCATATACGAATTCACAACGGACTCAAACCGTTTATTTGTGAATTTTGTGATAAAACTTTCACCAGTAGAAATACTCTTGTTGTTCATAGGCGTATACATACTGGAGAAAAACCATATAAGTGCAATATCTGTGACAAGGCGTTTGGTCAAGTAAGTGCAAGGGATGTACATTTAACAATACACATGAAAGAAAAGCCATTTAAATGTGATATGTGTGATAAGGGGTATGTTACCTCAACTTTGTTAAAAAATCATAAAAAGAAAAAACACAAATGAGAAAAATGGTACGAGAAAATCTTCGCGAACATTTTACAATGTTACATCAACCTGTGGATATTGTGATAAAATATATAAAGTTTTTGATGCACTAAATTCGAATTAGATTTCAGAATTTCCTCATCACGTCAGGTTTTTGAAAAAGTCTAACCCAAATGTGGAACAAACGCTTCTTGTTCATTATGAAATATTTTTTCTTCACAAAATGTTTATCAACAAAGTGCTGCCGAACAAATTCGATCAGTATTATTATTTAACTTGCCGTGGCGACTACACGAACACTTTTTATGTATATTTTAGTCTATGTTGAAGACAAAAAAGTGATCACAATTTGTAAATCACATCCTTACTTTTAATTATAAGAAATTAATTTTTTTTTCTGAATTATATTAATTTTATGTATTATATATTTTTGTCAAATTGCGAATAAAACATTTAAAAAGAATATTTATTTGTTCTATATTACAAAGTACAAGTACAAATACATCTAGATAAAATTGTGTTACTTTAAGGTAGGTGTCGTATTTTTGTTTTTATTTTTATAATATATTAACAGTTTAGTTTTTTTTAGTATTAGAATAGGAATTCATGCATCAAAACTCATACTTGTAAGTGAAGTTAGGTTCCTATTTGACCTAAAAAATTATTAAAGTTATATATTTTTAGGATGGATTTTTCTACAGAATTTGTTAAATCCGAAAACGAATTATACTTAGATTCAAGCCGCGCTTTTCAGTGCGACATATGTCAAAGAATATGTAGGGACGAAAATTCTTTAGAACGTCACCGTTCCATGGTGCACAGCGAATACAATCAAGCTCCTCGAGTCCAATGCGACATCTGTGGAAAGTGGCTTATTCACGACAGATCTCTCAAAGTCCACAAGACAAGAAAACACACCGAAAACTGCAACGAAAAATATATATGCAATATCTGCGGCAAGAAGTTATCTTCTAAAAGAGGCCTTGATAGTCATATTAACGCCCATCAAGGCTTAAGGCCGCATATTTGCCACCTATGTAAAAAAGCTTTTAGTGATAAAAAGACTTTAACTTCGCATTTGAGGACGCACACAGGGGAAAAACCCTTCGTTTGCAATGTGTGTGGAAGAGCGTTTTCGCAGAATAGTGCCCAAAAAGTGCATATGAAACTACACACTGGCGACAGACCCTTTAAGTGTAAACTGTGCGATAAAGCCTTCGTATGCAGGTCTGGACTTGTATCGCATGAGAGAAATCACACCGGAGAAAAACCATTTAAATGCAATATCTGTGATAAAGTATTTACACAAATAAGTACAAAAAATTATCACGTCAAAACGCACTCAACAGAAAAACCCTTCGGATGTAATCTTTGTGATCAAGCGTTTTTCACAAAACCATTTTTAAAACGGCATTTAAAAAATAAACATGCAAATGCTTTTGGGAAAATCCTGTAAAGTATTTTAATCACACGTTATTTGTTCTCTATCGTCAAATTGTAAAGCTTTAGGTAAAATTAAAAATTATATGTATGAAAATATTTGTAGCATTATTATTCACTTTAAGTTTGGTGCATATAAACCTAGTAAGTACGTATTATTTTACGGAATATTACAAAAGAAGTTTAAACAATTTATATTAATAAGTATCTTATTTTTAGGTTAACATTTTCAACAAGCGGAGTAAAGTTTAAATACAAGGTAAAATTCGAGTTGGGAAGAAAAGTATACGTCTGCCACATATGTAAGAAATCATTTATAAAGAAAAGCTATTTGCGGAACCATTGCATTTCTCATCTTGGTACAAAAACGCATTCTTGTAATGTATGTAGTAGAAATTTTAAGAGAAAATACGAGCTGAGCAGCCATATGAGGGTTCATGATACAAATAGGACCACTTTTCAGTGTGAAGCATGCGATAAAGTTTTATCGTCGAGGGGTTCTTTAAAGATCCATACAAAAAGGCATTTAAAAGATTTTGCCATTAAGTGCGAGTTCTGCGAGGCAGGTTTTTATTCGAAAAACGAATATCAGTTACATTTGGGTTCGAAGCACAAAACCAGCGATTTTGTTTGTGACATATGCAGTAGAACTTGCTATGACAAAAACACCCTAGAAAGACATAGAGCCAGGCACAGTGAAGACTATAAGGTTCCAAAGGTACAATGCGAACTCTGCGAGAAATGGTTTATCTCTGAGCAATCTTTATCAGTTCACAAAAAAAGAAAGCACAGCGGAAACAGCGATGAAAGCCATATATGCGATATCTGCGGGAAAAAATTGTGCTCAAAAACAAGCCTTAACAATCATATCATAGTTCACAAGGGCTTGCGGCCTAACATTTGTCAGTATTGTAATAGAGGATTCGCGAATAAAACAACTTTAGTATTGCATTTAAGAACGCACACAGGTCAAAAACCATACACATGCCATGTTTGTGGGAAATCCTTTTCGCAAAGTAGTGCTCACAAAATACACCTTAGACAGCACTCTGGTGAAAGACCTTTTAAGTGCAAAATTTGTGAAGAATCATTCTTTTCCAGTAGTAGCATGAACCTGCATATTAAGAATAAACATAAAACTATCTCCACAAATCCATTAGTTACTACGTTTTCTTAGAATCGTATGTGTATGGTATGCAATTAATAATATGATTTACTATTTAAATACGACTATTTGTGTATTAATAAATTTTTTAAATATTATAGTTTTTTTATACATGGACCCCGAATACAGGGTGTCCCAGAAGACCCTGAATAAATGTATTTTTGTATTATTTTTTTTGCTTTAGAAGTGATGACCAAGAGTTAAATAAGAGTAGTTAAACTTTATTTGGAACAGCAGAGAACATGTTTAAAGTAAAGTTTAACGGAAAATTTCTTCATCATAAATCCGAAACGAAAATAAAAGAATGTAAATAAGTCAAATATTATAATTCTTAAAAAAATGGGATACCCTGTAATAGTGTACTTGCAATAATTATACCTTTTTATGTAAATGTATGCTATTAATAAATAAATACTAAACCTTTTAGATTAACGTTCAGAACCAAAGGAATAAAATTTGAATACGCAATAGTTGAGGAAAAAGGAAAAAAGTTATTTTGCTGTCAAATATGTCCAAAAAGGTTTCCAAATAAAATCTACTTGAGAAAACACAGTATGATTCATATTGATGTAAAGCCATTTACATGTAATGTCTGTTTTAAGTGTTTTGATCATCAGTGGAAACTCAATACACACTTGACGATTCATGATGATTCTAGAGAGAAACTTAAATGTGAAATTTGTGATAAACAATTTGCTACAAAAGGGTCTTTAAAGTTACACACCAAGAGGCATTTTGGGGAGTATTCTGTCAAATGTGAAATTTGCAATATTGGGTTTTACTCTAAAAATGCATTTGAATTGCATCAGGGTTCCAAACATGGAGATAGCAATTTTGTTTGTGATATATGCGGAAAAACTTGCTATGATAAAACAATTCTTAAAAGGCACAGACTCAGACATAGCGAGGATTACAAAATACCAAAATTTCAATGCGACGAGTGCAAGAAATGGTTTTTAACTCTGCCAAATTTAAAAAAACATATTAAAAAAATCCACAGCACTAACAGCGATGAAAAGTATGTTTGTTATATTTGCGGAAAAAAGCTGTGCTCTTCTTCTAGTTTAAAAGACCACATAACAGTCCACAAAGGCTTGAAGCCATTTAAATGCACTTTCTGTGGAAAGGGATTTGCTCACAAATCAACTCTGATTCTTCACACCCGGACACATACAGGACAAAAACCTTATTCCTGTAAAATTTGCGAGAAGTCTTTCACACAAAGCAGTGCCCATAAAACTCACTTAAGGCAGCACTCTGGAGAAAAACCATACCCCTGTAAACTATGCCACCAGTGTTTTATCTCAAGTAGTGCCATGAATGCACACATCAAAACTGAACATGCTACGATTACCGAAATTGTTAAAAATGGACTTCATAAAAACCTGTAATGAGTTGTGTGTAATAAATAAAGCATTGTTCGTACTTTTTGTTTTAATTGCTCGTTTTCATTTTCATTTGGAAGGTTGGTAATTAGTTTCTATAGTCATTCTCTATTACTTACTAACCAAACTTTGTTTTAGGAGAAAATATTCTAAAAGATTACTGAAAGGCAAACTGGCGGAAGATCTGTTAAAGGTAGAACTTGACGAGGATGTACAGGACTCCAAGCTTAAGTATTGTCCTGTGTGTTCGAAAGTTTTTAAGGATAAAAGGCGACTTAATAAACACATGTTCTCACATAGCGATATACGCCCTTACAAGTGCGATCTCTGCGATAAAACGTTCAAGAGAAAGTACGAAGTTTCAGTTCATAAAAGAATCCATGGTAACCAGGAAACCTACGAATGCGACTATTGCTCGAAAAAATTAAAATCCAAAGGGTCGTATGTTATTCATAGAAAAAGGCATTTGAAGCAATACGTAGCCAAGTGCGAGGTATGTGGAGCTGGCTTTGTTACTAACCAGGAATACAACAACCACATGGGATCGAAGCATGGACAAAGTGCTCATGTATGTGATATATGTGGGAGAGGGTGTTACGATAAAGCTGCTTTACAGGGCCACATGGCAAGACACGCTGAAAATTACGAAAATAATCAAAGCATCAGATGCGATATCTGCAACAAAACGTTTCTACAGGAAAAATACCTCAAGCATCACTTCATGAGAATTCACAAAAACGGAGGGCAAAAATTCGTTTGCGACTTGTGCGGTAAAAAAGTTAATTCCAAGCGTAGTCTGCGGGACCACTTGCTCATACACGAAGGCTTAAAACCAATACAGTGCAAAGAATGCGGCAGATGCTTTGCATTGAGAACAACTTTAAAACTTCACATGAGAACACATACAGGTGATAGGCCGTATGTTTGTTCGATCTGTGGAAAATCTTTTACACAGAAAACACCTCTCAACGTTCACATGAGATACCACACCGGCGAAAGGCCGTACGTCTGTGACATATGCGAAAGTGGGTTCGTGAGCAAAGGAGCTCTGTCTTTGCATCAAAAAAATAAGCATGGAAAGTTATGATTTCATTAAATTACAAAAGTCGTTCCATAACAAAACTGTTTTGGGATATTTCAATTTTAATTCTTTTTATACAGGTTTTTTTATGCATATTAACCTATTTTGTTATGCAACGTCTTATGTAAAGTATTAAAAATTCCTTTTTATATTTTATTTACCTATTTTCTAAGATTTATTATTACTGAAATGTTATATACGTATTAAAATATTTATTTAAATATAGTTACGTCAACTTAATAGATTTTCATTTATACCAACCAAATGTTTTGTAGTGAGTTAAAAAAAAATTGTGACTCTATATTGCTGTCACATATTTTGGGATTTGTGTTTGTTTTTTGTGTTTTATGTGTATATGGGATTTAAAGTATAATAAACCGTTTGTTGTATTACAAATTGTACTTATTATTTTTTGTAGGCAATTAATGAACCTAAAGACTGAAACATTAGATTTAAAAGACATAAAGGGTTTCAAGGACTTTGAGGCGTTCGGTTTGGTATGTGAATTATGTAAAATTCCGTTTTCTTCGAACATTTTATTCGCCCTTCATTCCTCTGGACATTCCGATAAAGTATTAACTTCAAATAATAAAAAGTATTATTATTGCCATTTTTGCCAATATAAAACCCTAAAAGAATGCAATTTAAAGAAGCATTTTAATTGCCACATAGGAAGAAATAATAAATACGAATGCGAAGTGTGCAAAAGAACATACAAAGAGATGTTTCAAGCGATGGAGCACAAATTTTATCACGAAAAGGAAATTAAGTACTTCTGTACATTATGCCAGAAAGGTTTTCAATTCTCGTGGCTTTTAACCACGCATCTACGTATCATCCACGGATCCGTTAAGAAGCCGATTATTACAGAGTTGAAATGCGATGCGTGTGATTGTAAATACAAAACTCGCCAGGGTTTAAGAAGACACTCTCTAAAAAACCATAATTCTCACGTACAACGCACATACTTGTGCGATATTTGCGGTAAAAGTTTGGCCAATTGGGATTCGTTTAAGTTCCATAAGAGGGCGCACATAGGATACAAGCCGCACGCTTGCTCGATTTGTATGAAGAGCTTCACGAAAAAAGAGCAACTTAAGGAGCATTTCAGGATTCACAGCGGAGAAAAACCTTTTGTGTGCAAGCTATGTAATAAAGGCTTTACTCAGCGTGGTCCTTTGAAGATTCATTTAAGAATTCATACTGGAGAAAGGCCCTATAAGTGTTCCAAATGTGGAAAAGGATGCATTTGCAAAAGCGTTCTAGATGTGCATTTAAGAAGGTGTACTGTTTTTAATCCGATGGCTTATCAAGCTAGAGACTGTATAGAGGTTTCCAAACAGGAAAACATACATTATTAAAGTGATATTTGGCAGTATTACGGAGATATGAGATTTATTTTTTGATTATATTTATTATTGGTTTTGACAATGGAACTGATCTTTATTTTGAGCTTTATTATACCAGAAAAAACTTTTTTTTTTATTATAAAAAATCTTGACTAATGGGTGATATTGATTTTAAGTTTGTTAAAAAGTTGTTTTTAAAGAATATACAATATTGTTTATTTGTGTTAAAATGTTAAGTTTGTAATTTTTTATATTTATGAGTTATAAATAAATAAAACATTATTTTGACTTTTTTAATTTGTTAAATCTTATACAGGGTACTACGGTATGCAAAGCTGTAGGGGTTATTTAAAACAAATGTTTTTCTGATAAGTAGTTTTAGAGTTATTAAGCATCTAAGTTTTAAAAACTCGACAACACTGTAAATTTCCTAAGCCAATTTATGAAACATCCAAAAACGGTTTTTATGGAAACAAAATATACAACGCATCGACACATGTCTTTTTTATTATTAACAAATTGTGACTTTTTGGAAATTTATCTTTTATTCCTTTATGGGCCAATTAATATTTTTAATTGTATGGGGCCGTAAATCTCGAGACGCTAGAAGGAGGGTTTGAAGGACCGTCCAATTAAATAGAATAAAATTGCTTATTTATTCCATTTTTAATTAAATTAAATCAGATTTAATCATGTTAATTTCGACCATTTTTAGAGTTTTATTTTGAAAATATTGAATGACTCATTTAATTTGAAATCCGAATGAAAATATGCGATTAATAATCGCGGATTACTTAATTCGAAAATAAACGGCGATTATTGATCGCATACTTTCATTCGAATTATCAATTCTATTAAATTATTCCGATATTGAAATCCGATCTTATTATTATCCATAAATACTGGACAGCAAATATTATACATTTTATGCTCTTTAACGTGGTTTTTAGCTTATCCAAATATCTTTAAAAACCAAGAAGGTACAAAGTTTAATGCAAACCTATGTAAAATGCAAAATAGGCTGAAGCACTAATACAAAGTGACCGCTCAGAAAAAAACTGAACATCTTAAAAATTAATAAATACTTGTATTCCATTTTTTGAGTATAGTACAAACATACAGTGTGTTTTATTTTAAATGGCGACAATTTGGTATTTATTTGAAGATGGGCCGATTTAAAAAAGTTTGTAGTACCTACTCGAAAATCTCTTTTAAAGAAAAAAAATTGTCATTTCCATGATTTCCAAAAACGTCAAAAGTTATTAAGTATTTTTAAATATAAAAACAGATAGCCTTTCTGAATTTGGCATACCCAAAAACCCCTACAACGATAATTTTGTATGAAATTTAATACAGGATGAGCAAAAAGCAAGGTCGAATTTGTAAAATAACAATTTTTTAAACACTATAACTACACACTGTATAAATTCTAGAAAAGATTTTGCAAAAACATTTTGTCATTTCTTTAGGTATTACACTAACTACACATTCACCTAGTGTTGTTACTCTAGCTTATACAGAGTGTTCACAAATGAAGGTCAAAAAATATTAAATAATAATGGTATTTTAATTATGGCTATTAATCTCATTAGAGCCAAAATGTTAATTATGAACTATTTAAAAGTAATCTTTTAAGTACCAGTACACATTTGTACATAATTCATTCATTAATATTATGCCTCTAATTAAATTAATATTTCTATTTAGAATACAATTTGTGAACATTTTGTATAAGCTAGAGTAATAAAAATAAGCGAATGTGTAGTTCGTGTTATACTTTAAAAAATGACAGAATGTTTAGGCAAAATATTTGCTACAATTTATACAGTGTGCTTAGAAAAAATGATTTTTTTCCAAATTTGACATTACTTTTTGACCATCCTGTATAAAATTTTATTTAAAAAAATTATCGTTTTAGGGGTTTTTAGATATGCCAAATTTAGAAACGCTATCCGTTTTTAAATATAAAAAATGGAGTTGTATTAATCAAAAAAGCCATAAAAATGACTACCTAATGACAATGTTTTTTCTTAAAAAAATAGAGCTTTTTGAGTACTACAGACTAAAAGCAATTATTTTTAAATAAATACCGAATTGTCGCCAATCAAAATGAAACACACTGTAGGTAAAAAACTTAAAAATAAATAAATTTTGTCAGAAACCATCATTGGTTTACATTAAAATAAAAATTTAGGTATTTTTTTTTAGACTAAACTTGTTTTGACATCTTTCTTTTTTTTAAATTTTTTCAATATCGTTTCTCCTTTTCGAGAACTCGTTAATTAAAGTTTATAATTTGGTTTGGGTAAAAATTTGATTCATGGTTTTTAAGTATTAATAGATATTTGTAATATTAAATTAAAAATTTTAAAAAGATTTTAAAGAGGATGAACGAGTAGATGGCAAAATCTGGGTTTGAATTCAAAAGTTGATTCCAGATTCGAATTTAAAGCATCAAGTACCTCCGAAAGGTATGGTCTGATTTTATCCACAGAATCATGGAGCATACACAAGGAGTTCGAACTTGATAAGGGGAATTGATAGGACCTGCCTACTAAATCGCACAAATTGCGCTTTCTTTTTCATCACTAGCGGCGCTGATTTCCATTTGGGTTTGGCCATTTTATTTTCTAAATACAAAATTAATAAATAGTTTCTTAACGCATATCTTTAAAAAGTATTTGTCGATAAAGCAATAATAATTTCGGGTGGAAAAAGTGAAAAACTGCTTGTATATTGGATTTAGTCCATTTTTAAGTGATACATTTCGATTTTTATAGTACACTGACATTTTGAAAGCCGTTGAAACAGATTCCTAAAACCAATTACCAATTACTCTTTTTGTATGTTCTCTAAAAATGAATTAGTCAAAAATTTAATAGTTATTAGTGGCTGCTTTTTCACTTCTACCATGGTTAACCATGGAATACCATGGTATCCCAAAATTTAACAGCCAATTCTTATGTAAAATTGTCTCCTGAGTCAATTCCATATTAAAAGGAAAATTGACTATATCTCAAAAACTGTTATATTTTTTTTTTAACTTTTGACGACATTTTCGGATTCAGGGGACAATTTTACATAAGAATTGGCTGTTAAATTTAGGGATACCATGGTAGTCCATGGTTAACCATGGTACAAGTGAAAAAGCAGCCATTATATAACTGTATTAAATTAGTAATTTTTGACTAATTTATTTTTAGAGAGTGGATATTGCTTTATACAAATATTTCAATTAATTATTATACATTAATTTTTAAAATATTATTTCCCAAAGGCGGATTTACAAATTTGCCGCCTATAGGCTGAACCAAATTGCTGCCTACAGTAATAAAAGAAAATGGTAATTTCAGACAAATATATTTAATAGATTCCAAAGAATTAAAGAACAACGAATTTTAATCGAAAAAAAAAATTTCAAATTTCGAAATGCAGTTTTATTTAAATATTTGTATTTTATTCAAACTCGATGTTGTTCAAATAATTAAATTTGGAATCAATTAATTGTATTTGTTTAAAAATTTATTAATAATAATGGTGTGGAAATAAATTCACCAAAAAATGCGGAAAAATAGGAGATAGATAGGAAATTCTGCGAAGTTAATACTTTGTTGTTAGGCGCCATGGAAAAAATGTCCGCCTTCCAAAATTTACCGCCGTTGGCTATAGCCTAGCTAGCCTATTATATAAATCGGGGCCTGGATTTTTGTAGTAGAAAAAATATAGTATGCAATTCTTTTATAAACTTTTTATTAACCACTTGCTCGCAAGCTTCGCTCGTGCCTAATTAAAAATTGTGACTAAAATGGCGTTTATCAAACTTGATTATCAAATGGACTTGATAGGTATTATGTATTACATAATACCTATCAAGTCCATTTCATCAAAAACTACCTTAAATTTTGTAAAATTGTGTTATTTTTATATTATTTTGTTTTTAAATTTAAAAGGTAAAAGTATTTAAACCACAAAAACTCAATTTAGGTATAGGGTGATTAAATATTAACTATTTATTTAAATTTCCCTGGGATATTAATTTTATAACTACCATATTAAAAAATCAGGTAAATTAATAAAATTGTGAAATTCGAAAAGTTAATTTAGGTATAAAAATGTAATAATATTATAAAAATTGTCTAAATTAAATATTATTATATTATAATTTAGTCAGTGTAAACAACAAAAAATTAATTAAAAAAGAATGGCCATGGATTGTCTGAGAAATGTCAAAATTGTTTGACGTGAAATATTTAAAGATAAAATTATAGAAAGAACCCCGTAAAATACAACAATAAAAACAGTGTAATTTTTACGTTTAAAAAGTGAAATATCTTTTTATTAATATTTTTCATGGATTTATGAGATAATAAGTAAGTATTTTATAATACATATCTGTGTATTAACTTTTTTGAAAGTAGCAAAAGAGTTGTAGATTTATGATGTAGTAAGTAGTTTAAAAATATGTGTATGTACTAAATAAAACACTAATATATTGTTCTGTTTTAGGTTTTATGAATCGTTGTTGTTAAAAAATTTAGTATATGGTCCAGGAATATCGATAACTCCTATAAAACCAGAACCTTTGGTGGATTATTCTAAATTAACGCAACAATTCAACGGATACAACTCCAACCTGATGGCGCAAATGCTGGAACCCGAAACTAAACTCAACGAGGCATTGGAAAACCCTTCGTTAAAAATGCTCATTAAAAAAGCGGAGCAAGCCACCAACAAAACACCCAGAAAGAAACGATCTCAAAGACCGAAAACAGAAAAAGTGGTCCATCCGGAACCGATTGAGCTAGACGAGCCGATTCATTGTGATATTTGTAATGAAACGTACAAAAACAACGTTGCCTTTGCAATGCACTCCATCAAGCACAGCGACGATGGAAAATACGCCTGCCATCTGTGCGACTACAAGAATAACTCAAAGTACCACATTGAGATGCATGTGAGGGCCCACGAGGGTACCACAAAGTATAAATGTGACATTTGTGGCAAAGCTTTCACGGTGAGCACCCACGCGATCGAACACAAGTACTTTCATACCGGAGAGAAGCCTTTTCAGTGCGAAATATGCGGGAAACACTTTATGTTTTCCTGGTTTCTCACATCGCATCGCAGAACCCAGCATTGGGAAATCATGACCGGTAGTCCTCTTGTAAAATACGACTGTACTATTTGCAACAAACACTACACGTCGTCCACCGGACTAAAACGACACAATTTAAGCAAACACAATGAAACCGGCATGGATTTGTCGGTCCTTTGTGATGTATGCGGAAAACGGCTTTCCAGCAAGGAAAAACTAAAGTTCCACAGAAGAATCCATACGGGATACAAACCTCATTCGTGCGAAACTTGCAGCAAGAGTTTTTCCAGAAAGGAGCAACTAAAGGAGCATGAAAGAGTTCACACTGGCGAGAAGCCTTACATTTGCAAATTTTGCGGAAAAGGATTCACTCAGAGGAGTCCTTTAAGGATCCACGAGAGGACTCACACGGGTGAAAGGCCCTATGTTTGCATGATTTGCGGTAAAGGCTGCATCTCCAAAGGAGTCATGGACACTCACATGAAAAGTTGTTCGGCTGTACAGTATCATGCGAATAATATTGAATATGAACAATTTTAGAATTGTGAATGCGTTGTTTTAGTTTTTAATAATTTATTAGATAATGGTTTGCTTCGTTTGTGTTACTTTTTTACTTTTACATTAATACTTAATGTTATAACTTGTGATCTACTTAGGTTAATATTAATAGTTTGTTGTCTAAGCGTTTTCAAATATAAAATAATTGCGTTCATTTTTTGATTAAAACATTCCTTGTTGTAATGGAATAAATATATCATAAAATAAACATACTATTTGTAATTGTTTAAATTAATAAACACTCATTTAAAATTGACTATGTAAATAAAGGGTCATTTCACGTCAGATCAAACTGCAGTTCACCACACCGATTTAGATTTTCCTTAAATTTGGTGTAAATATACAGGCTATGTTAACAAAAAATCATAGTTTTGAAGGTTTCACCATAATAAATTACCGAGAAATTAATTGTACTTGTAAATGTGCTTTTTTTCTCAATTCCTTACCTGTAATTGTATATTATGTATCAAGTTTTATAAAAGTCATTTTAGTTACGAGTTTAATTAAGCACGATCGAAGCTTGCGAGCAAGTGTTTAATAAAAACGAGTGTCTAGAGAAGTTTATAAACGAGTTGCATACTATACTTTATCTACGAAGAACACAGAACAGAATTTATAGCCAATTTTATTTGTTAAAAATTTGACATCTGTCAACGGTCACCCGAATTTAACCTCACTTTTCCCTATTTATAATAAAGCTAACTTCAGCCCGTAACTAAAAAGCTTAAAAGCTAACTTCAGCTCGTGACTATAATGCCATAAAGTCGCAGCTCGTCAATGTAGGAGTAGATAAAAAATATTAAAGTAAAAGTTTGTTTCTAGGGGTAAATTTTTAAGCCAGCTGATTTTAAAAATGCAATCTGAATTTGTTAGTATTCTATTGTTTTTGCAAGATTGTTGCTACTTATGGCCTTCAGATGTCAAAAATGACACATGACAGGTGTCAAATTAAGGTACAGCAGATGTCAAAAATGAGCCTTATGGAACAAAAATACGAAAGAAAATTATCATTCGTAGATAATAGTTATTTTTGACTACACTGGGAAAAATAAGGTTGATAATTAACACTTACGGGAATGTTATTCTTATTTTTGTTAAATTAAAAATTATTTTTTTGAAACAAATAAAAAAGAAATCTTAAACAAACAATCAAAGGTTGTTATACAACTCTCTAAAAATGAATTAGTCAAAAATGATGGCTGCTTTTTCACTTGTACCATGGTTAACCATGGTATCACAAAATTTACCAGCCGATTCTAAATTGTCCCCTAAATTCGAAAATGTTGTCAAGTTAAAAAAGTAGAACACTTTTTGAAATGTAGTCATTTTCCATTCCATTTAATATGGAATTGACTATATCTCAAAAAATCTCAAAGTAATAAAAATGTATATTCAAAAACTGTTCAGTTAATAATTATAACATTGAAAGGGTTGGTTGTTCCTCCTCACAAAATAAAATGAAGCTGTTAAAACAGGCTCCTAATTAAACACAGGTTAAGGAGTTATTTAAGAAACTAAGAAAAAATATGAAGCATCTTGCGAAAAATTAAAATATTACAATAATTAATTTCTTGATAATTAATTATCGTAAAACCTTCAAAATTTAGATTTGTGGTTATCCTAGATTGTAAATATCACAATCTTAAAAAAAAATCAAAGACGTGTCGTAAACTTTTTTCTTTATTGTGTTCGATTTGACGTGGAATGACCCTATAGTACATTTTTAAAGTTTATTAATTAAAAAAAAATACAGATAATAAAAGTAAATAGGTACTGATATTTACATTTAATAGATAAAATTGAAATTTATTGTAAAATTATATTGTAGAAGAAAATCCCTATGTAATTTAAATTGTATATTTAAACCCACTATTTTAAAAGACTGTTTCTGTTTACAAATCAATATAATAATAATTCAAGGTTTTAAACACGTCATAATGTGGTTAATATCCAAATTCTGTAAATTAAAATATAGGTCATAACTAATAAGCAGCTTATACCTCATTAGGAATACGTTTGTGATTTACATTAGAGTCCTTGTAAATATATGGAACTATATTTAAATTAAAGAAATTAAACCATTATTTGTTTTTTGCACCTTTTACTTTTTTGTTGTTGTAGTGTTTAGGTGGTTTGGTGATATTTTTGAGTTCATAATTTATTACTGATAAATTTAAATAAAAAATATAAAGTAAATTATTCACTAACTACGGCTTTTTTAGGGATATCATGTCGTTGTTTATGCCAGAAGTTAAAATAGAAGAAGGCGTTTTACAAATACCAAAAATGTCCAGTAAATCAAAAAAAAATAAGAATAAAATTGAACCAAAAGCGAAGAGAGGAAGGCCAAAAAAAGGCGAAGATACAGATTTTGTGCCAAAAAAGCAACCAAAGGAAAAAAAGGTTAAGTTACCCAAAGAACCATCATTACCAAAACTACCCAATATTTCCATAGCGGAGCTGAAAGAAAAACTGAAAGACATGGTTAAAGGCATGGGCGTGGAACCTCCAGAAGACGAAAACGGAGTAAAACAGGAAGATTTCGAGATAAAACCGGAGTTTATTGAGATTTTAAAACATTACGAGTTGGAAGAAACTAACTTATACGATTGTCCTATTTGTAAGGACGATAAGCAGAGGAAGCTATTCGAACTAAGAAAACATTACAGGGAAGAGCATAAGGGGAAAAGGTTACGATCATCAAAATTTTCTACCAAATCGTTCCCGTGCGATGTGTGCGGTAAAGAGTTCAAAACTATGGCAGGAGTGAAAGACCACATCGACACTCACAACATGTATTTTCAATGCTACGATTGTGGGCTCTCCTACAAAAAATTAGTGGATATTGTGGTTCATCTGCGAACCCATTCCACCGAAGAACTATTTAAATGTTTGGTGTGCGAAATGACCACCGAAGATATTAACTTGATAACGGAACACGTTAACGCCAAACACACCGATACGGAAGATTACAAGTACTGGTGCGAAATATGCAAAAAAGGTTTCCATCTTTCGTCTTGGCACCAAGAACACGACAATTTTCACACAGGATTAAAACCGTTCGATTGCGACTTGTGCGGCAAAAGTTTCATGTATTCCAGGTACCTTCAAGCCCACAAAAGCACCATGCACAAGGACGAGGCCGTTGTCGGACCCAGCATGCATATTTGCGTGATTTGTAAGAAGGAATACCAACATAAAAACAGCCTGAAACTTCACATGAACACTCATACAGGGAACTATTCAATTTGTGATATTTGCGGGAAAATATTATCCAGCAAGGAAAAGTTGAAGTTTCATATTCGAACACATACAGGATACAAACCATTTACTTGCTCTTACTGTGGCAAAAGCTTCACCAAAAAACCGATTTTAGTTGAACACGTGCGTATTCACACGGGGGAACGGCCCTATGTTTGTGAATACTGCAACAAAGCCTTTTCCCAAAGATCTAGTCTAGTTATACACATTAGGAGTCATACTGGAGAGCGACCTTACGTATGCAAGTTTTGCACTAAAGGATTTGTTGCCAAAGCCATGCTAAATATTCATCTTAAATCTTGCAAGGGTATGATTTCCGATTAGTTAAGGTTTTATTTACTAGGTAAGTCTTATGTTTTCATCAAAGTATATACTGGAAATGTGTGTTTAAGGACGAAAGCTAGGTTGTAAAGTTTTTAGATTAAGTTAAGTGCGTAAAAATTTTAATAGGAGATTATACTTATAACATATTTATGTAATTATTAATTACAATATTCGACTGGCACTAAAACTTATTATTATTTTTAGTTAAGGAATTGATATTATACTAGATTTACTTTAGTAGTTTATATATCATTTAAACAGTGTTTAGTTACCCAATAAATATAAATAAACATCCTGGTTCACCAAATGTGATATAAACTATAGATTTGACTTTAAACTTCTATAAAAACTTATTTAATTATTTTTTGGTAGCTTGCCATACGATTTTTGTTTATTTAGGAATTTTTTGATTTTTAATATAATTTGTCCTATTTAACTTAAAATTTAATTGCATTATTTCACAGGTTTTATGTTTTATTTATATTCATATATATTATTTATAAAAACCTTTCAAAAAGTGATTAATGCATTGCACGATTCAATTGGACTATTTTTCATAATTATGATGATTATTGTAGTTATACTCTTTTTTATGTTATTATTACTAATAATAAAATTCATTCTTCTTAAATTGTTTTTTAATAATTATTTCTTAATTGTACCTAATAAATTTAGTTCTATTTTAAAGGAAAGTATTATAAATTCTAAAAATAAAGGTGTGATAAAACTAAAGTATTCTAATTTTAGGGAATTCGTTGAAATAAAGCAGGACTGGGATTTGGATCACTATTTTATTACAATTGTGGAAGATGGTGGTATTCCTACAGATAACCCTACAGAAACCATACATATCAGATGTGAAGATGAAGGGGAAGTAAAAACAAGAAAGGCCGAGGATAAACTTTCTGAAGCGTTATGTAACATTTGCGGCATTATAATGAAACCCAAACAGCTAATAATTCACCTGGAAGAACACCATGGCGGTCAATTCTACTGTGACATATGTTATGTTTCCTTTGTGTCCCAGGATGAGCTCGAAAAACATAAAGAAAAAGTCCACGATGACGAGCTTAAGCAATTTTATTGCAGTGTTTGCGACTTGGCTTTTTCCAACACCACAAAATTCGCTATTCATAACTATCAGCATTTTAAATACTACACTTGTCCCATGTGCGATTTCACTTCCCACTGCAAGAATTCCTTGATAGCTCATATTAAAAGGCACGAGGGGCAGTTCGATTATACGTGTACTATTTGTTCAAAAGGGTTCTTGTGTAAAGCAGTTTTAGATTCGCACATGGAAATGCATGCAGATATAAAAAAATACAACTGCGAGTTTTGCGATAAAAAGTTCACAGTCAAAAGATACCTGGACGTCCACAAAAAATACAACCACAAGAAAGAACTTTTTGGATTCGAGGAAGTGTTCCATTGTGATATATGCCAAAGAGGATTTTCTTTCGAAAAAAGCCTTATCCGACATCTAAGTTCTGTCCATGGAGTCGGCAAGTCCAGAGCTGTAGACTGTTCCGTTTGTGGCAAGACAATTGCAAATCCGTACAATTTAAAAATGCACATGCGTCTTCACACTGGAGAAAAAAAATATGTTTGTCATTTGTGCGGAAAGGCATTTAGCGGTTTTAAATACTATAAAAAACATTATTCTAAATTTCATAGCGAATCCCCTGAAGAACAAGAACAAAACATCAGTGATTCGTAATAGAGTTGTTCGTTAATATTCCTAAAATATATTTTTTTAAATGCGTATCTTGTATGTGATCTATTTAATAAGATACATTTTGATTGCTTAATAATAAAACATTTTCAATACACATAACCTTTTATTATTAAAAAAATCAAAAAATGTCCATTATGTTCAATTGCGACTAAAAAAAGACTAGATTGTTGTTTATTAATTTACAGTTATCCGTGTTAAAGTTAATCTTGTTTCGTGCTTAGAAAAATGATTTGTTGTAAAAGAAACTTGTATAAAACGAGAGTAAATATTTTTCTAAAGTTTCTTTTACAACAAATTATTGTTTTAAGCACGACACAAGATTAACTTTACCAGTCCGTTGGTCGTACGCTGTTGACATTTTAAGAAGTAAGATGTTAAACTTATACCTAACCTCATATTATGTATCAAGTTTAATAAACGCACGAATTTTAATTAGGCACGAACGAACATGCGAGCGAGTGTTTAATTAAATGAGTGTCTAGAAAAGTTTATAAACGAGTTGCAAACTATACTTTTTCTACAACAAATACTTATTATTATCTAAAAATGATATATTTGTTTAGAGGGACATCTATAAAAGCCTAACAATTTCTAACTTGGGAATCTGTATTACCGGCGCGCCAGTCAAAATGTCAAATTTGTATGTGTAAATCCAAATTTATTCCTTGAAAATGGACTAACAACCGTTTAAATGTTGATATAGAAGCAGTTTTTTACAGTGAAAGTAAAGAGAACGTTTTATGGGCACTTCACGGTGGAGTCTTCACCCAAAATTTGTAATGCTTTCAGTTAAATATATTTTACTGCCAGTAAAATGAAAGGATACATAAACTTTTCAAATAGGTATCGGCGTTGAGAAACTATTTAATACTTTTTATTTTTGTATTAAGATAATAAAATAATGTCCACACTATTATTTCACAAGAAGGGCACTTTATTTTAACGATTGTATGACAAACAACTTAAAACTAACTTTAGCCCGTGACTAAAAACCTATTGCTAACTTCAGCCCGTGAATAAAACGCCATAAAGCCACAACTTGTCAATGTGTATTTAAAAGATCACTTAATATCATAGGAACATGTACGATAATGGGCGTTTTAAAGGTGGTAGTAGAAAAATACTTTATAGCCTTCCAGCCACCTGAACGAAGCAACTTTCACTTGGCTTTTTACTGGCTTAATAAACATAAAACAAAACAAACTTTTTATGAATATTACACACCTTAAGAGACTTGCATTTTCATTATTTTTTTCTAAGCAAGTTCATCGTAAATAAATAATGCTTTGATGCCATTGTTTCTATCGGAAAGTAACAGAAAATTAGCATTAATAAAACAAAATATGACATTCTATTATAAAATATGGTGAAGAAATTCGACGAGATCCAAGCACAATAAGCTTTTAAAAAAGAAATTACTTGGTCTGTCCGCTATTCCAAAAAATCTGAAAAAGACAAGAAAACATATTACAGTAAGATGTTCTTTAAATTTGCAAGTCTACCTGCTGTAATAATGTAAAAATACATAAGCCTCAGTTCTAGGCATATCTCCTATATGATTTAAGTTAACCCCAAAGGCCCTCGTCAAACCCAGATGCTTTTTTAATATAGCTTCTGAATTTTTTCTACGAAAATATATTTTACAAAATAAATGTCTAGCTTAATCTAAGAATTGATAGAATAGTTATTTGTTTTACAAGTGTTGAAAAGCGACTTTTTCATGCGAGTTTTTAAGTTGCCCACGAGGCCGTTAGGCCGAGTGTGCATTAACACGAGCTTGAAGAAAGCTTTTCTCACAAGTATAACACAATGTTTTTTTCTGCGACCCTTTTATTATTTATTATTTTTAAATACAAAACAAAATAACCTAAAAACTTTTTTGACAGCTGAATGTCAAACGATGCTTTCCGGTTCTTTTCACACAGACCTGTCACTTTTCACACAGAAATGTCACTTTACATTCGTGTTTTGCCTTGCCAATGAAAAGATTCATTTTCTAAGCAACGATGCCATCATGAAAAGTGACTTTTACATAGTGGTCGTAGAAAAATTAGTTTTTGGGTGCAGCTGCCTGACAACTGCATTCTTAGCAGTATGGTTTGGGATTAACGTTTTTCTAAAATAAATCGCAGATCAAGAAAATATTTTGAATTTTTTTTTGACGGGTCGATTTTAACTTTTTATCCAATTTAGGTAAAAACAAAATCATTTAATTTAAATTAAAACCGATAAAGTATTTTTAATTCAAAAAAATTTATCAGCCAGTTTGCTTTAATTCGATAATAATAATCTTTTATTACGTTAAACTGCATTATTTTACTTTTAAATTTGTTTTTTGTCCAATTTCGTTTTTTAAACGTTTTTAACGGATCCGGCCTATTTTTAAGGATCAAAATGTGATGACCGTTCCGAAGCTACTTTTCCCCAAACAGACAATTCTTATGTAAAATTGTCCACTGAATCCGAAAATACCGCCAGCAGTTTTTATGATATAGTATATACACGTCATAAGTCTGATGTAAACCTAGAAAGGGTTTTATCAATGAGAGGTAAAGGTTGCATATATCATAATGGTGTCAAAATTTACAATGCGTTGCCTATTGAAATCAGAAACAAACACATTAGGGGTTTTACGTCTGGTTTGAGATGTTTTCTGGAGTCTGACTTGAGATATCTTTTGGAGTCTGAGCTGTAATGGTCACCAGTGTGGTCTATGCTCAGACCGCACTGATGGTTGTTGTTCGGGCTTTGGGGGACGCCTCGGGTTAGACTTCCAAGCTAGGGTGTTTCAACGGGTATTGTCATTTTATTTTATTTTTATTCTCTTTTCCGTCCTTGCATTATCAAACATGTAATGTACCTATCTATAGTATAGAAACTAGCTTAAGCTTTTAAAACATGACGAAATGTGAAATAAATATCTACTACTACTACTTTTATATTTTTATTTTTTATTGTTTGTACAATTTTTTGTTGTATTGTTGTGAGAGGATGAATCCGTATAGAGTGTTAACGTGCACTCTCTGGATTTTTCAAAATAAACGTATTTTCTTTCTTTCTTTCTTTCTTTCTTTCAATTCCATTTAAATGGAAAATATCTATATCTCAAAAACTTTTTTTAACTTTTTACGACATTTTCGGATTCAGGGGACAATTTTACATAGAATTGACTGTTAAATTTTGGTATACCATGGTATTCCATGGTTAACCATGGTACAAGTTAAAAAGCAGCCACTAATAACTATTAAATTAGTAATTTTTAACCAATTCATTTTTAGAGAGTACGTTAAAAATTATTAACAAAATTCACAATATGGTCTTAAGTCAGTCCTGGCCAATCCGCCATGTTATATTGTGCGTCCTTTCGGTTAATTTTATTTATTTATTAAAACTAGTTTCTCGTTGTACCCTCTAAAAACATTTTTTTCGATTCTTTTTTGTAATAATCTGACTAAAAATGGAACATAAAAGCAATTGCATTCTATTTACTTTGTCACTTGGGCCTGACATATCGTGACGGTCCTTCAAACCCTCCCTCTCCCCTTCTAGCCTCACCTTTCTAGCCTTTGGTGGTGTAGTAGTTAGCACTACAAGCCAAGAGGTCGTGGGTTCGAATCCCATCAGAGGTGTTTGTCAGAGTGTACTTCTGTAATTAGGCCTGGTGCCTGTTGGAAGCACATTAAAATAATAATAAAATAAAAACGTAGTCATCAAAGTGGCCCGTTAAACCATTTGGGTTGGCCATTCCTGTCGATGGCAAAAATGCGTTCATTGTTTTTCAACTATAGGACCTACAGTATAGGTATTCACTAAATTTATTCCTCAGTGCTTTTTTTTCTCAGGAGCTCTCTAAAAATTAATTAGTCAAAAATGACTAATTACTACAGTTATTAGTGGCTGATTTTTCACTTATACCATGGTATACCATGGGATAGCATGGTATCTCCGATATAATAGCCAGTTCTTATATAAAATTGTCCGCATAATCCGAAAATGTCGTCAAAAGTTATAAAAGTAAAACAGTTTTTGAGATACAGTAAATTTTCCATATAATATGGAATTCACTATATCTCAAAAACTGCTCTACTTTTATAATTTTTGACAGTTGACAATTTTACATAAGAATTGGCTATTATATCGGGGATACCATAGTATAAGTGAAAAAGCAGCCACTAATAACTACATGTAGTAATTAGTCATTTTTGACTAATTCATTTTTAGAGAGAGGGGTGTTTGATCTAAAGAAGACTATTTTGAAAAATAAAAATGAATCAGCCCAAAATAATGTGTTTTTTATTATTTTGTAGAACTTATTGACTCACCCTCCTATTACCACCATTTAAACTTTTTTAATAGTTGTAGAATAAGTATAAATTTATTTTTCAATCAAATTTAAAGTTTTTTTTTCAATCAATGATAGAATTCAAAGCACAAATTATTATAAAATAAACTTTTTCTACTCCTATTATGGAATATGACCGTTCTAATATGAATTTTTAATGTGGAATGACATATATTTCTTAAAGTATTATAATACCAGTGTTTATTCCGTATACAAAATAAATTATTCTATTATCGGATAACGGAATAAACACTGGTGGCCACATCTCTGTGTTTAATATCTAACAAATTTTAGACAAATCCAACCTCACTTTCTCCCAATTAAAATATTTTTTGGAAACATAGGATTTGCATATTCCGCTCTCGTGAAACCGTCAAACTCGCCTTCGGCTCGTGTGACATACTTTTCACTCGAGCGGAATATGCCAAATTTCAAACTTGTTACAAAATATACTATATATTAATAATATATAAGATAATATTAAGTCTTAATAAAACCTTTTAAATTAATAATCATCTTTTATTTACAATATTTATTTATTTTCATCTATATTATTTATAATTAAAGCAGTGGATTGCAAAAACTACGCAGGCGCGTGAACACCGTATCGTGTAAAATGAAAATTTAAAAACATCATATTTAAAAAATTGTGTTTATAAGTACAATTTTTTTGTGCGACTGTTTTAAATAAAAATAAAAAATCATGATTTTTTCGTGGTTACGAAATTCAATTGTTTTTATAATAAACAAATGCAAATATGAAATATTAAACTGAAATTTCACAAACGTAGTCTCAATAAGCTTACGACCCTAAAAATCGCACTTAAAATTCAAAAACATGCATATTTTTTATTAATTTAACGGACTGATAGCCACGGTGTGCCTGAACGAAGTTTAAGTCACATAAAAATGCCGCCAAAAACTGATTGCAGTTTCTTGTTCGGGACCCTTAGGTGACTTAAAAATTATATTTACCAAAATCCTAGCTGCTACCTTTTTCGAAATTTTTTGAAAATTCATGATTTTTTTTTTAAATTTTTGTTTATCTTAAAGTCTACCTTTGACACAGTACACATTTGTACACCGATTTTTATAATATTGGAGTAGGTATATTGTTAAGGAGATTTTGAGAATACTTTTTTATACTGTGCACATCATTTAATATATACAGGGTTAGACAAAAATCGCTTTTTTTAATAAAACAAAAGCGTAACTTCATGATTTTGGCATAATACGCAAAAAAGATTTATACCCACCCATGTTTTTTTAGATATTTTTATTTTTATCAGGCTACAAAATGGGATTTTTATTAAGACTTTATAAGAAAAATTAATTTTGAATAAAATTTTTTGGAGATAAATCTTTTTTGTGCATTATGCTTTTTACTATATAAAAATGTTGTGCTTTTATTAAAAAAATTCAAGAATTGCAAGTTTTGTACCATTTTAAATTTTTATTATTTCTTTTACTAAATTTAAAAAAAAAATGGAAATGGTATAAAATCTGTAATACTTAAAATTTAAAATTTGTCAATAAACTTCAGTGAATTAAATATTGTACCACTTTAATTTGAATTATTTTAATTTGGGGGGGCAAGAGGCTGGGGGGCACACTTAAAAACTAACTTTTTTTCGCAAATTTGAATTCTGCTTGCGCAGAACTTGTCTATATAATGTCATATAATTTAATTAAAATGTATAAACATTTTTTTGCGTGTTTAAGGTTTTTAATATTCCAAATCCAAACACTTGTTTTAAAAATTTGAACAAAAAAACAGCCTATGACAAGTAAGTAAGTAAGTAAGTTTATTCGTGCTAAAGATTACAAAAGAGTATTTACACATATTAAACAAGAATGTAAGATTTACAAAAAAAAATGTCTACTTTACATCCTCTATAGGCACAATTTTTTTTATTTGACTTTTTGAGAATAATTATTTTACATGCTTCGGACAGCATCGTATTTCTACAAAAAAATGGATAGTCAATGAGTTTCTGCAATCCACTCCCACAATTAAAAATAACACAAAGTCGCAATTAATTAAAATCATGTAAGTATTGATTTTATTTAAATAATTTAACTTAATAGCGATAATAATACTTATATACAAATATAAGATACTAATATACTTTTTTTTAGGAAAATAAAGCAACTTTATGTGTGGATAAAATGTGAAGACAAATTACTACCAGACAAAACATCACAAATAAACCAAAAATTTGTTACTTGCAAGGAATGTCCTGGTGAACTTTTTACCAAAAACCAATTAAAAGACCATAGAAAATCCAACCATCCAAATAAACCTACATCAAAGGAATGGACGTGCAAAGAATGCGATGACGTATTTCGAACAAGAACAGAACTGCAAGTTCATCGCAAAAATGAGCACCCGAATCCATTAAAGGAAAAAGCCTTTGAATTGAATTGCGAGTATTTTGAATGTATGAATAAATACATTTGTTACAACTGCGGCGCAGAGTTCGAGAATGAAGAATCTGTAAAAGAGCACCAGGTTGAACACGAAGATAAGTTTGATTGTACGGACTGCGACGAAAAAGTTTACGGGGCGTTTCAGTTTTCCGTGCATTGCCAGAAACACAGGAAAGATAAAAATTACGTTTGCCCGCATTGCCCTTATTTAACATTAAGAAAGGAAATGATTTCCACTCATATAATGCAAAAACATAAGAAAATGTTTGATTTTCAGTGCGATAAATGCGACAAAGGGTTTTTTGATGCTTTATCTTTTAAGGAACATGAAAATGTACATCTTGGCTTGAAACCTTTTGAGTGCGTGGTTTGCGGAAAGTCTTTCGCTTTTTCTAGATTCTTAAAATATCATCAAATCAAATGTCACACTATCTGCACTAAGGAGGGACCGAAAAAAAAAACCATAAAACAAAAGAATGTATTGTGCGATATATGCGGTGTAAATATTGCCAATAAATATAAGTTACAAATTCACCTTAAAGATCATTTTGGCATCAAGCCGTTTATGTGTAAAATTTGCGGTAGGGGCTTCTCAGTACAATCTATAATGCTCCGTCACGAGCAATTGCATACTGCTACCAATTCTTTCGAATGTGAATACTGCAACAAAAAATTTAAAAGTCGCATATATTTGAACAATCACAAAAAATTCAACCATAAAAAAGAACTTTTCGGAAAGGACGAGGTATATAAGTGCGAAATATGCGAAAAGAGCTTTTCATTTTTGAAGAGTTTAAATAGACACTTAAGCAGAATACATGGGATAGGAAAATCGTCGCATGTTTCTTGCCCTCTTTGCTATAAAATTCTTACCGACAAATATGGTTTGACTTTGCATATGCGTACACATACTGGAGAGAGAAAACATGTATGTGATATCTGCGGAAAAGGCTATAGTAAATTTACTTACCTTAAAAAACATAAACTCACGGTGCATACCGAAAAAGATGCACAATCTCATTCAGACCATCCATACAGTACGGACACCCAGAGAGCAAAACAAAAACAAAGACTAAGCAATAAAGGAAAATCAGAGCCCATGGATACAAGTAACATCACTTTGGTCATAGATTCAGAAACCCCTGAAAATGATGACCCAGATGACTTTGAAAATGTTAAGAACTTTACCATTAAAAAAGTAACACAGGATTCAACTACTGTAGATTCAAAGCCTGATATAGATGAAATGGAAAGTTTAAATAACCCCTTGAAACCTAAAAAGGTGCCAAAAAAGAAAGGGAAGAAGAGTCCTATAAAGGAAGAATTTCAAATTGATATGACAAATATTAAAAGTATAGCGGAGAAGACGGATATAGATAAAAAAGAGATTTCGTCAGAAAAGGGATTAAAAAACAATACACACAAATATATGTATTCAGAAGATTCAGACTCAGATTTGGAAGATACAGAATCTATAAACAGCCTTCTTCAAACCCTTAAAAGGGTACCGAATAAAAAGGTTATTGTTAATCCTGCAGAAAAGGAAATTCATATTGATATGAAAAATATCGACGATGTCAAGAAATCTGTATTCTCCATTGATACACAAAATTTAAAGAGTTCGAAGAACATTGCAAATAAAACAATCCTAATTAAAATGTCGAGTTTGATACCCCTTAAAGAAAATTTAGAAGCTTCGGAAAATTTAAAAGCAGTAATTACAGATGAACAAAAAAAAATAAATGTTCCTAATGTTAGAGAAGAAACAAAAGATATAGAGAATGTATCTAAAGCAAATAAAACAGAGTACAGAAAAAATTACATAAATACGGAAAAAATGGCTCAAGCCACAAGTATTTCAGAAAACATATAATTTAGGAATTAAATTACATTTAGGTACTTTAAGATACTAAAAATAAGATAAGTTTTACTTAGTTCATTTAAGAGAATAGTTGTATGTTTTTTTTTAATAAAATGCTTAGTAAAACTGTGTGGTTTTTTTGCCAAATTTTAAATTTTTATGATATGAAAAATGTACAATATTTTGTGTTATGTGCAGTGTGGTGAAAATAAGTTGTAAGAAATGTTAACTTTTATAAAGAAATTGTAAAATAAAATGCGATTTTCTAATAAATAATAATTTTAGGAATAAAGGCACTGCTCCACTTCTAAAGAAAATAAAAAAGGAAAATATGGAAGATGACGAATATGTACCAAATGTTAAAAAGTTAAAAGAAGCAAACACAAACATAAGTAAACTAGTGAAACCAAAGACTGCCAGAAAACGCGAAATCAAAAAAGAAACGCCAGTAAAAGAAAGTAGAATGAAAATATGGATTTGTAAACTATGCTTGGCCGATTTTCCAAAAAAGAAGGACTTGGTGAACCACAAATTAAAGGAGCATCCGAATGCCAAAAAGGAAGTGGTCATGGAAGTGAAATACGAATATGATGCCGACCAAGAAGTATATGTTTGCATCAACTGTTCTGCTGAATTCCAATACGAAAACGAAGTTATTCAGCACGTGGAAACTCACCTTGAAAAGTACGAGTGTGAAGAATGCAAGTTGACCATAACGGGTGCATATTCTTTTTCCCTACACGCACAAGCGCACAGACACGATTTACTGTATCCATGTCCATGCTGCAGCTACACAACCTTAAGAAGAACCGCAATGATGGTGCACATTAATAGAATGCACTTAAATAAGTACGATTTTCAATGTGCTCAGTGCGGAAAATGTTTTAATGACGCTTTATCATTCAAAGAGCACGATAATGTTCACTTAGGCCTTAAACCGTTTATATGTGTCGTATGTAACAAAGAGTTTGTCTATTCGAGATATCTGACTTCCCATCAAAGCAGGTTGCACACGGTACGTGTGATAGATGAAAATTCCAAGACCCAGTGCAAGTACTGCAATAAAATCTTTGCCAAACAAGAAACCCTAGAAAACCATTTGTTGAAGCACGAAACCAACAAAGGCCCGTACTTAAAGAAACACCTGTGCGATGTTTGTGGGCAAGGTTTTTCGCGCAAAGACAAACTTAATATTCACTATAGAAAACACAGCGGCGAAAAACCTTTTTCCTGTAGCTACTGCGGCAAAAGTTTTATCAAGAAAGACTACATGATTATGCACGAAAGAGTGCACAGTGGGGAGAAACCCTACAGTTGCGAATTTTGCGGCAAGTGCTTTAATCAAGGTGCTCCTTTACGTATACATCTGCGCAGTCACACTGGCGAAAGGCCTTATATTTGTCCATATTGTAGTTTGGGGTGTATATCACGGGGTGCTTTAAACGTGCATATAAGAAACTGCATTTGTTCTGTGTAGAACATTTGCACACCAACTGACTTGATATATATTCTATCACGAGCATTAAATTTAAACTTTAATAAGTAAATATCATTTTTACTGTTAATTATTTTGAATAATTGAGTTTCAAATAGATTTTAAGTCATTATTTTTTAAACTATTTTTATGACTTATTTTAGGTTTAAGTTATGTTACTTTTTGTTTATTTACTAAGACAATCCCATAGATGTTTGAATTTATTTAAAATAAGTATTATATTATTTAAAATTGTAATTAAACTTTTCTTTTTGTATCATATAATATTTTTAGTAGGTATACAGGGTACCCTACGGTCACTGAAAAAAAGATTTAATATTTTAATTGAGCTAGATATAGCAACGTATAGACCGTAGGACACCCAGTAATCCATATCTACCCAATATGTAACGAAAAATATTAGCTACTTAATATTTAAAATGTAATAAAAATTACCTGGTCGAAATAAAGTATTTTTAATAACTTGTGTTAATAATAATTAATATAGTTTAACAAATTACAAATATGGTGAGTAAGTGGTGAGTAAGTGATATTTTTCTCGTGCATGAAAAATTTATTTTATACAAATATATAATTTTAATAAAAAGGAAAAAGTACCTACCTTGCATTTTGTTACCTTTAAATATTTGCTAACATGTACAATTTTAGGTGTCTTAACAACTTGGAAGTGGAATTAAAGGAGGTTGAAGGTGAGGTAGCATTCGGTCATACAAGAAGAAAATCAACAAGATCGACTCCAAAAAGGGAGAAAAAAGATAAAGTTGTGCGAATAAAAAAGGAAAAATCAGAAAAGGAAGAAGACGATGATTACGATCCTAAAAAAGCTACAAAGATTAAGAAACAATCATCCAAAGTGAGAGCACCTAGAAAGAAAAAGGACAAAGTTTACGAAAAAAGTGATAAAAAGCTGACTTGCAGGAAGTGCATGGAGGAGTTTGATAGCCGTAAAGAGCTTTATGATCATGGTAAAACCCATCAATCCGAAAAAAATAATGAAGAAAAACACACATTTCGCTACGATGAAGAGTTGGATCAGTACTTTTGCAACACTTGCCTAGAAGAGTTTCCAAGTCAGGATAGTGTAGAGCAACACATTGGCAAAGTACACGTGGAAAAATTCGCATGCGAGACCTGCAATGAAGTTTGTAATAGCGTCTTTAACTTTGCTTTGCATTTAAAAACGCACACTGGAGGGGACAGCTATTCCTGTCCCTTGTGTAGCTATACTTGCATTAGAAGAGCCGGCTTGTCCACTCACATCAACAGAGTGCACTACCACAAGTTTTACTACTACTGCAAAGATTGTGGCAAAGGATTCAACGATGGCGTGTTGTTTAAGGAACACGGGAATGAACACTTGGGTATAAAACCTTTTGTCTGTGTCGTTTGCAATAAGGATTTTGTTTTCTCGCGATACCTCTTGGTGCACCAAGTTAGATACCATACGGTTCACATTGAGGGTATTCTACATAAAACCCAGTGCAGTATTTGTATGAAGGTGTTCAGCAAAGTGGCAACACTGCTGAAACACATAACCACCAAACACAACCCGAATGAAGATCCAAACCAACGCAAACATTTATGTGATATGTGCGGAAAAGGTTTTGGGTCTTCGGACAAACTCAAGATTCACTACAGAGTTCATACCGGTGACAAGCCTTTCTCATGCGGATTCTGCGGAAAAAGCTTCACCAAAAAGGACTATTTGGTGATGCACGAGAGAGTGCACACTGGGGAGAAACCCTACAGTTGCGAGTATTGCGGAAAATGCTTCAACCAGGCTTCTTCATTGAGAATCCATGTGCGTGGCCATACTGGAGAAAGACCCTACATTTGCCAGTTTTGCAGTGTAGGATACATTTCCAGAGGTTCTCTTAATATACACATGAAAATTTGTAACGGAGCTGTTTAGATAAGATAATTACAAGTGGCCAAAATCAAAAGTCAATAAACTTTTTTCAATGTTTAATAAATGTGTTAAGTTTTGATTTATTGATTATTAGCAAGATGGTTAATTTGGAATTGTAAACTAAAATTGTAATTGTAAAATTTGTATAATGAACTGCGTTCATTGAAACAAAAAATATATAACTGATCAGCTTAGCTAATTTAACCGGTTAACAAAATTAGTAAGAAAAAATTGAACCTACACCTCGCCAAAGTTTTTTGTTTTGAGTGCGTTCCACCAACTTCAAATACTGACAGACAGCTGTTTCGACCTATATTGGGTCTCATCAGTGTCGGGCAACTTGTTGTAGTGGAACACACTCAAAACAAAGGACTCCCCGAGCTTATATGCAAAATTAGCTTAGCTAATTAGCTGGCGGCTTAACCGTTTAATCTAGCTTAGCTCAGCTAATTAGCTAACGGCTAACCGGCTAAACAGCTAATTTTTTAAAGCCATTTAATGATTACTTACGGAAAGGTTCAAAAAATAATGTTAATGTTTTTTATTATAAAAAAGACGGTAATAATGTCTATTACATAATAGTATATATAAATCTTATTATAATGTATATATAAATAATAGCTTTTGAAAAATAATATACGTATGTGTAAATAATAATCTCTACTAAATAATAATCAAATTGTTAACGGTTTTAATACATTATAATGTATATAATTATAATTTATTATAATTATTTATTTATTATAATTATAATATAATTATAATGTAAATAATTATTTAAATTACTCGCGCTTTTTAATTTGTTAATGTCGGCGCTTATTCATAAATTAGTTATTTTTGTTGCCTGTATGCTTTTTATGCGCTGGGTATTTTTTGTAGAATTGAAATTTTCATATTTTACAAAAGTTTTTTATTTCTCATACATTTAAAAACTACAATTCAACGATTCAACCTTACTATTTTTTAATAAATTCGCTAAAACTTGCATTTTAAGAGAAATGGTTGTTTAGTTTACAAACTAGCTAAAGCATTGGCTATTTTGTACATAGTACAAATTAAATATCCAGCCAAGATCCTTGGTTTTGTAAACTAGCCGCCGTTAATACGTTTTCTATTAAAATAGCCGACAGATTGGCTAATTTATAAATTATCCATCTAGTTTATATACTAGCTTACTTTATTAGCCGTAACATATATAATATTCAATTTAATCGTTGAATTGTAGTATTTAAATGTATGAGAAATATAAAACTTTTGTATAATATGAAAAAGACAATTGTACAAGAAAAATCCCCAGCGCATAAAAAGCATAAATGGCAACAAAAATAACTAATTTACGAATAAACGTCGACATTAAAAATTAAAAAGCGCGAGAAATTTAAATCATGTATTAAAACCGCTTTTTCGTTAACAATTTGATTATTATTTAGTAGAGATTATTATTTACATATATGTACGTATATTATTTTTCAAAACCTATTATTTATTTTGTATAATAAGATTTATACCTATATACTATTACATAATACATTATTACCGTCGTTTTTTTTTTTTTAAAAACCTTAATATTATTTTTTGAACCGGTTCGTGAATATTAAATCATTAAATTAGCTGTTTAGCCGGTTGGCCGTTAGCTAGATTAACCGGTTAAGCCGCCAGCTAATTAGCTAAGCTAATTTATTTAACCGGTTAAATTAGCTAAGCTGATCAGTTAGCTAGCTAATTAACTTAGCTAACTTTTTTAGCCGGCTTAACCGGCCCTACTAAAAATCAGTTCACATTACTGATTTTTAAAATCAATAAATAATACAAGACACTATCATGCTAACCAAGTTTGATTGGAATTATACAGGGTGTCCAAAATTTAGTGTGAAATGAAGTTTTTTTATCGGAATAGTTACAATATCTGCTGTTAAAATTTTCGGAACGGTCCCGAAAGTCGTTTCGATATTGTTTTACATTTCGAAAAGAGTTTTGCACACCATTATGTACAGTCAGTTAATACTGTGCTAGTTCAAAAATCTAACAAGCGGGGCACCAAGGGGGATTACCTGATTTGAGTACGCTGAATCTAATGGTGTTAATCGTTTTTTTAGGTAAGCTCTTCTTTTCGAGATATTTTAGATATAAATTGTAGACCCAAGAACTACAAAAAAACATTATTTTCCAATTTATAGATCATTTATTGAATTTAAATTTATGAAAACATGCATATATATATATATATAGGGGTTTTTACATACATGGTCGGTCCATTAAAAGTTTCTGGAGAACGAAAAAAGATATCGATTTGAAATTTTAAAAGCGTTTATAATCCATTTAAGTATATTTCTCTAAAATATTTTAAACAAAATGCTACTTCCGGTTTATCCGGAAGTGACATCAACTTTGTTATTTTAAATAATAAAACACCCCAAATATTTTTACATTTTTAAATTCTACATAAAATTCTGATTAAAATTACTATACCATGTCCCATACCTAAAGTAAATAGTTTTAGGGTTATTAATTTTTTTGGTTAAAATTTGACAAATGCGCGTCAATCAAAAATAGCCTATAACTTTTTTATTAGGTTTGAGAATATGAGATTGGAAATTTTGGAATCTTAATACATTTTTTAAAAGATTCCACGTCAATTCTTTAACATATTTTAACAAATTACCTGAGAAAACCCAGGGCAAATTAGGCTAACTTAAAAGGTTAATAACTTTTTTATTTTAAATGTAACAACCGGTATGTTTTTACCTAATCAAATAGTAAATTAAAAAAACATTTGATTGATGTTACTATTCTATCATTGTTTAAAGTGAGCTCCGTTGCCGCTGATCGTTGTTTATATAAACAGTGTGTATAAACAATGTTTCTTTTGGCTATATAATTATTGGAGGTAGAAGTTATCTTTAATAAAAAACATAAGAAAGACGACTTGGCAATCAGGGCCGTATTCCAAACATTTTAGTACGTTTAATACTGCATTTATAAAAAATTATGAAAACTGTATATTTTTTTAGAAAAAAATCATAAAAAAACACTTCAAAATTGACCAAATTATTTTTTATCAACAGTTTTTTTTTCAATATGTATCTGTCTATACATTTATCCCATCGATTTTTATCAATTTATAATCGGTAAATGGATTTAAAATGGGAAAAATAATGTATTTGCGATGCTTGGATCTACAATTTAAATCTAAAATATCTCTAAAAGAAGAGATAACCTAAAAAAGCGGCTTGTACCATTGGATTTAGCATATTCGAATTAGGTAATCCCCCTGGGTGCCCTGCTTGTTAGAAAAAAAAAGTTTCCGTTTCGAGCACAGTGTAACATACATAGGGTTTAAATGACAATTGGGGGTTGGCACGTTTTTAAAAAAGGGTCTTATTGTATGAACATTTTTATTTACATACCTATAACATTGGCAAAATGTAATCATTGTCCATACCACTGCCAAAAAAAGCTAAATCTGAAAATAAAAAAATGACCACGACGCGTCGTTACTCTAAATTTTTTATAGCAATTTTTTATATTTTATATTATATTTTTTTATTATATAAAGACCAAATTTGCCACCTTGATAATACACGCCCAATACCGGAATTGCATTGAGCAAGAAATATTTTCCAACCCGGAATTTTACGTTTATACGGCAGCCGCTATTGAGTGGTACATTCCCTTTGATATATATTGGGTTTTATTAGTGCCTGAGAACAATTCCGCGCGCGGATTAAACCCAACATATATGATATTAAAGGAATATTGTTTTTTTAAATACTGGTTTTGAGCAATTTTTCGGGCGATATCTGAATTCGGGTATTGAGCGTAACATATATGCATCAGACAGGTTGTTTTGTTGTTAATTGGCATCGAATTTAAAGTTATTAAATAACAATTATTGACCAAATAAGTACTTATAATTAATATAATAATAATTAAATAATACATTATATAATTATATATTAATATAGGGGGCATTTAAGACCGAGCTGGCAGCAAAATAAAAGTTGTGCTATTTTGTTAAAATTTGGGTATGTTATATTTAAGCATTGACCACATTTTTTTTCGACACCTGGGAGTCCCAGGCTGGGACTGCGCTACGAACATTTAAAGTTTTTGCTAAGGAATTCGCATTATGTATGTTAAATGTACCTAACCGTATACAGGGTGTCCGTTTTTCGAGCCTAAGCATGGGTGTCTCGCTTAACTTATCTTGGCAGCTGCGAAGCTAGCAAAAATGTTACATAAAAATAAGAATTAATTTTTTTTGTTTTTTACGATATCTTCAAAACTAAAAATGATAAGTCAAACTTATTGATCGGCATGAAAATGTGAAATTTTTTTCCAATTTAACCAATTATGTATCTCTAAAGATAAGCGAGATAAAAAAGATTTTTGTAGCTAATTTTATGATCTCTCTTATTAACTCAAAATTAATAAAATCGAATAAAACAATGTGCTTGCAAAATTTTAATGTTTTTCTTAAATTTGGCATATTAAAAAAACTAAAAATTACTTAAAAATGTTTTTTTGTGTATGTATTTTCGTACACAGAAAAAAATCTAACATAGTACCAAGAACAGCTCTGTCATTGAATGCATTAAAATTGAAGCAATCTAAATTGTTATTTGCTCAATTAATTACTATTAAACCAAAATAGGGAAATATTTTGCCTAAATGTCAAAGAATTTATTGCGTTAAATGTATACATAGTATACATACAATAGTAACGTTATTAAATAAATCAAATTAGTATTTAATGCAATAACATTCTACCATTCTAACAAATAAATATCAATATGAATATCAATAGATTTAGGTGCAATAACTTTGGTTGTTAATTTAAAAACAGTAAACGATTATAAACCAAGTGCTAACTACCTATTGGTATTATAGGAAATGTTATTCAGGAATACGGATTACAAGATCCCATTGTTTTAATGGCTCACCCATTCATGCTATGCTAGCGTTTTTTCTGTGTATAAATGGGATATCCCTTTAAATTTTTTATTTAAAGGGATATAAAAAATAAAAATTCCCACTTGCATGATTTAAAAAAGTAATTTTTTGACAAAAAGTAAAAAAATAAAAAAGCATCGGTAAAATTTATAAAATAGATATAACATTGTTTTTTTCAGTTTAACACCCTGCATATTTTTGAATATTTAGATAGTTTTTTATTCTAATTTCAAAAATGTATAATTTTTTAAAAATCATAGTTGCCATGAATAAAGAACTCACGTCGTAAAATAACAATGTTTTTATTATTATTTTTTAACAAAACACTTAACACAAATATTCAAACTATTTATTTTTAAAACCAGAAAAAAACTCTATATATTAAAAAATATACATGGTGTTTGGTTGAAAAAAGCAATGTCAAAGCTATTTTATTAAATTTACCGATGCTTTTTTGTTTTTGAATTTTTGTCAAAAAAATTACCTAGTTTTTTAAACCATTCAAGCTGGATTTTTAAATTTTTTGATATTTCTTCTAATAAAGATTTTATATAGGTGTCCTATTTATAAGAATACAACCGGTACATTATGCCTATTAAATTATGTAATATGGTTCTAATTACAACTGGTTTAGGTCCTATAAGATCTTAACCTCTTGTTTGTGTTTAAAAAACGTAAAATAAAATCATTTAAGAATAGTTTTAAGTAAATTGTATGCTCTTTCTTGTTATCAACTCAATTTTAAATTTCTTCTTCTTTAATAAAAAAAAATAGGGTACAAATATCACGAAAAAAATTGTTGCTCAATTTGGGAAAAACTCTAGATTTTTATAATTTTATAAGAGGCAATTGAAGTTTGCGTTTGAAGTAACGCTCGACTAATAGCAATGTCAATTTCAAAGCAAAATTCATCTAAACCTTTTACTACTTAAAATAATGTTAATCTCCAAAAAAAATATTTTTGGACGCTAGATTCTCCCGTCACATTTTAATTTTGTAGATTTCCACGAAACCTTACCCCACCTTAACAAAAAATCAGATGTGTAATTTAACAAAATAACAACTATGTCTGAAATCAAATAGTTTAATTGCGACGTAATTTATAACCTTAAAATTTTCGTACATTGTGACTAAGTAGCTAACATAAACAAGAATAAACACAGAAGAGTTTCAATACTTGATAAAATGTTCAAATGTCGCACCCGTTACATTTTGAGAAAATTTTAGAAAATAAAGTATACAATATTTGTGCTTTTAAAATACGTGCTTGTTTAAGGTTACTATTCAAGTTTTACACAAAAAAATATTACTATATGCTTTCATTTAAAATTTTGCAGTATCAACTTTAGAATCCAACTTGGTCGCATTTGCCGTTATAAAAGTTTTTCTATACAAGTTTTTATTGACATTTTGTTTGAGTTAAATTCCTAATTTTTTATACTATTTTTTATATTAACATATCTTGATATAATGTATATTTATTATATGAACAAACACTTTATTATCCTGAAAAAACGCAGTTTTAGTGTCGCACCCGTTACAATGAAAATACCCTTTTGTAACCCTATGTTTTTATTGAAAAAAATGTGTTTTATCAAATTTCGATTGTTAACAAGAAAGAGCATGAAATTTGCTACAAAAATCATTTTCCAATTTTTTTTTCATATACCGGTACATTTAATGTCATAAAGCGCGGTCAAGACTATACCTAAACACCCAAATTAAAAAAAAAATCGGAAAACTTTTTTTTATTACCTACTTGTCTTGAAATGTCCCACTATTGTACTATCAAATTTTAATAACCAACATTTATTAATTATTTTAGTGGATTTTTGTATTGATTTTTTAATGTTTTATACACATATTGTTGTACTTGAATATTTGTATGTTAATTTAACATTGTTAAATACACATAATTAAACATAATAATAATAATTCACTGCTTGTGTGTATACAGTGCTTGCAATATCAACTCCGACCGCACTGGAAAGGACGGCTGTTCAATACCCGCGTGAAAAGAACAAGGATAGAACGCCAAATAGAATTTGATTGGCCAGCCGGCAGGCTACGACAACGCATACCCATCGCGCACCTCGCAGCGTGGTTGACACGAGGATATCAGAACGAGAACTGCAGTGGTGCGAGCAAGAGGTAGTAATTTTAGTGAAAAAGATTATTTAATTAAAAAATGTACACGTTAGAACAAAAAGTTCAGATTTTAATCTGGCATTTTGCTGGTAATTCTGAACGAGAAATTCAAAGATTATTTGCGGGAATGTTCGAGGCCAGACCAAACAGAGAAACAATTCGACGAACCGTTAATAATTTTCTCACGCACGGTTGTGTAGTTCCGATGCAGCTCCGACGGGAACGTCCTCCCCGTGAAAATCTAAATAGAGAAGCGCGGGATACTTTAATTTGCGCGTCAATTGAAGAAAACCCAACCCAGGCATTAAGTACGGTGGCTAGGGAGTTTGATATTTCAGCTTCCACGGCACGAAATGTGCTAAGACGCCATGGATATCGTCCATTTAAGCTGCGACGGGGAAACGAGCAATTCCCTGCCGATGCATTGACGAGTCGACATTTACTCTCCATGGCAGGCACAATTCGCAGAATGTTCGAATGTGGGCGCGAGAAAATCCTCGTAGGATTTATGCAGCTCGGACACAGTATCCCCAAAAACTTAATGTCTGGGCGGGTATTTTGGGCGACCGAATAATTGGCCCATTTTTTATAAATGGTAATTTAAATGGCGCTAGGTATTTAAATCTCTTAAGAGACCAAATAGTTCCCGCGCTTCAAAATTTAGACGGAGTTAACATCGAAAACGTATGGTTTCAGCAGGACGGTTGCCCCGCACATAATACGATGGCTGTTCGGGAATTCCTTTCCGACACTTTTGGACCTCGTCTTATTATGGGTCGAGGAGGAATTCTCTGGCCAGCTAGATCACCGGACTTGGCGCCGTGTGATTTTTTTTTGTGGGGGTACCTCAAGTCGAAGCTGTACGTTTTCCAGGAAGATCGGGCTAATAACCTCAATGATTTAGGAATCCGCATAACTAATTTGTTGGGGGATATTAGTCCAGAAGTCCTAGCAAATGTGCGTGGGAATTTTTATAATAGGTTAGGCTATTGTTTGGCTGCCTATGGGGGCTTGTTCGAACATTTAATTTAATTTTTGAGTTTATTTATTTTTATTATTTATTTTTAGAGTTTTATTTTTATTTAGAGTTTTATTTTTATTTATACCTAGTTATTTTTATTCAGAATTATTTTTTATTTGAGAAATCTTTTTTATTAAGAATACTATTTTTGTTGTTGCCCTAGTTCTCAAGGAAAAAATCAAAAAATTTTATTTTTAGGATTCGGGTACCTATAAAATATTTAAAAAGAAAATTAAAATGTGCATCTACACTCTTACGCAGTTTGCTTGACACTAAATCATTTAGTCTAAATGCAGCCAGACTGAGAGTTGACCTCGCTTACAATTCGCACGCATCCGGCAGCCGGCTCTGGCCAATCAAATTCTATTTGGCGTTCTATCCTTGTTCTTTTCACGCGGGTATTGAACAGCCGTCCTTTCCAGTGTGGTCGGACTTGGATTTGCAAGCACTGTATATAAAATGTTTTCGCTGTTTTATATGGTATTTAAGTTAAGTTGGTATATTCTTATATTGTAATAATATGTCATATATTTTATAAACTTTAAATATTAGATGTAGTTGTATAGCAGTATTAGCATACTACCCATTGTAGTGATTATTAATAGTGATAAGTCTAGTGAAACAAACAATTCTTATTATCAAGTAGACTAAACATATACGTGTTGTGAAAAACTTTCTAATACGCTGGACGCTGGATAGTGATGTGACAATTCATTAAACGTGAGATGACATAAAAGGACATTATAAAAAATAATGTGAGCAATTTTGTTGGGTATAATTTAAAGTTATTTAAATATATGCATATAAAACTAAATAGCGTTATTATTTATCCTTAAGTACCGACAATTTAAATTGGGTATGTAATCGGCCAATTAAAAAACGTTTTAGTTCACTAAGTATTAATATTTAAAATTTTTAGTGCCAAAAGGACACCAGCAAATAATCCGAGGAAAGATTTATTTAACAAAAGTGATGGCAAATATAGTTCAATAAAAAATAATACAAAGAAGCTAAAGAAAGAAACCCCAAAAGGTATAAAAAGGAAATACAACTCCGATAAAACCTGGTCATGCAAAAAATGTTTGGATGAATTTTCAACGCTAAGAGCGCTCAGAGCCCACCGAAAAATACATGTCGTTCAAGAGAGTGAAGAACACACGTACAAGTTTGATGAACTTCAAGATTTGTTTATCTGCAATACATGTTGTGCAGAATATCAGGTTAAGGAAGAGATTGAAAAACACATAAAAACTCACGAGGAAATATACAACTGTAAAGTATGCGAAGAAAAATTTAAGACTGCCTATAGCTATGCTACTCATGTCATAATTCATTCCGACGATAAGACGTTTAAGTGCCCTTCTTGTACATATACAACCCTTAAACGAACAGGCTTGCTTATTCATATTAATTACGTACATTTGAAAAAGTTTTTGTATGTTTGTATTAAGTGTGGTAAAGGTTTTAACGATGCAGTGCTGTTTAAGGAGCATGATAATGAACACCTTGGCCTTCGCCCTTTTATTTGTATAGTTTGCAACAAAGATTTCGCTTATTCTCGCTATTTGCACACCCACCAAGTAAGAAACCATAAAGTAACAATCGAAGGTGAACTTCTTCCAAACCAATGCAGTATCTGCCTTAAAGTATTTAGTAAAGCAGTAACCTTAGAAAAACATTACGTCCAGAGACATCTAAACACCACTCCACACGAAAAGAAGCATCTTTGTGATTTATGCGGAAAAGGTTTTGCCCAAAAGAACAAACTACGTGTTCACTATCGTGTTCATACAGGTGATAAGCCGTACAGTTGCAGCTACTGCACCAAAGCCTTCACCAAGAAAGATTATTTGGTGATGCATGAACGGGTTCACAGTGGGGAAAAGCCTTACAGTTGTGAGTTTTGTGGAAGGTGTTTTAGCCAAGGCGCGCCATTGAGGATACACCTTCGTAGTCATACCGGCGAACGGCCATACATTTGCCAATTTTGTAGTTCCGGGTTCACTTCACGAGGTGCTTTGAATATTCATTGCAAGAATTGTACAGGAGTAGTTTAAAGTTGTTCATTTTTGACGCCCAGCATACTTTGTTATACTGTAGGTAGCATAATTTTATACCATGTAAATATATGTTTTTAAAAAATTAAAATTTTGATAATTTTTTTGTAACATAAGATTGACTACCGGGTGAATACAAGGCCTTCACCCCTGTGCCCTAAAAGGGCTATTATAGCTCCCGTAACTCTCACACCACTGTATCCAGATTGCTTGTAGGGACATTCCACGAAAATTTGAACTTTTTTGTAAAAATTAAATATTTAATATATAAATAATAAATTTTAAAGGCTTAAAATAAACAAAAACAATACAATCTAAATAATAAAATTAAAATGCCGTATTTATTTATTAACTTGAACTTATTTAATTCGTTTATTTATTTTCAATGTAAAATATAAGTAAATAATTTGGCTTTGTATTAATGATCTGGCTCTTTTTAAAAACGTTCTATCTTAAAATTAATTTAAATAAGTGTTTATTGTTAAGCTTGTTTAACGTTTATCAAAAGAAGGTAAGTTATTATTTGTTAAATTAATTGTTTTAATTGACATGCCTATTTGTCCCACCCGTCACAAAAAAACCAAAATAGTTTTGATTTTAATAGAAATAAGAATTTTTTTGAAAGCAGATTTTAATAGCAAATAAAGTCAATAATATCAAATATTTGGGGGTAATTTCAAGTCTATTAATTAAAATTTAAATTTTTTATAAATTATTATAATTTGTCCCACCCGTCACACTACGGCGTGTTTTGTAACTTTTTAAGTTAATCTATTTAAAAATCAGTTATCATGATAACTGCAGTTATTGTTAATGCAGGTGCAGTAGGTAAAATCCAGTTTTTCTGCATCTAAATTTAATAAATATTTATACTATAATATTAAAAAAATGGCGTTTTTATACTTTCTTTAAATAATTAATTAAATAAAATACCAAAATGGACGGTTTTTTTTGTCACCCTTCGAAATGCTAAAACTAACTTTTATTTAGATATGGATTCAGCTGTAGCTGTACAAAAAAGTGGAGATAAAATTAAAACAGACCCTATGAAATATATAAAATTAAAAAACTAGGGATATAAAAGAAGGGCTGAAAGAAAAAACGTATTGAAAAATACAGAAGATTTAAACGCTGCATGTGTGTGGCTAAATAACGCCAAAGAAAAGATTTCGTATGCCATTTTAAGTAATAATTTATCTCTTTAGTCTGGATTTTTACAAAAAAATAGTTTCCCATTTAAAAATTAAATGCTATACTTTAGAACATATAACATTTTTAACGACGGTTGTGTTGGGCAATTTAAAAATCGATATGTCTTGTCTAATATATGTAACGTGCCTCATGATTGGGGTTTAAGTGTTGATTGGGCATTTTTTGTTACCAGTCATAAAAAAGGCGAAATGGGTAAGGTTGGAGCATCAGCTAAAAAAAAATTGTGGTCAGAAATTAAATCTAGAAAAGGACAATTAATACTCCAAAAGAATGTTTTGAGTATTTAAAAAATCTTAAAAATTTATAATTGTTTTTACATAGATACTTACCTACTATCAAAATAAAAGAGGCTGGCGCAAATTTAGGGGACAAATGAAAGAATATAAAACCCATACCTAATCTTTTCAACATTTTCTTAGAGCTGAAAATAAAAATCTTTTACATAGTGTAACAGCATATTTAAAACAAAATCTTTAATGCATATTATAGGGTTAAATAATGTTTTTTCTTATAAATTTAAATTAAATAAAGTAGTAATATATTTCCTAACCTTATTATTTTCAACTTGTCCCACCCGTCACATAATAATGTCCCACCCGTCACATTTTTAATATCGCATTATATTTTTTATTGACTTTATCAACATGTTTTTTTAAAAAATATATAAACGCATTATATAGTACAAAGACTTATGTAACGAAAAAAAATTTAAACATATTATAGTTTTGTATAATTTAGCAGAATTTTGTCATAAAAATATCGTTTTTTGCTTGTCCCACCCGTCACAATAAATTACTTTATAAAACTAAAAAAGTCTATAAAACTAAATAGTGTGACAAGAAACTTGTATTGTTTATTTAGATATTGTATGGGAGTTTAAAAATATCAGGGTTACATGGATAAAAAAGCTTACAATAATAAAATATAAATTGAATAAACATATACAAATTAGTAAGTGTCCCACCCGTCACATGGAATGACCCTGTAGCCAAAACCTTTTGAAGCTTGGATATAGGTTTCCTGATGTAGTCACCTGGTGTTGGATTTTGATTTCCTTTCTAGCCGAAACGCATCCTACACAGTTCCTCGCAGAGGCATAGATGTAGTTCCCAAGCAACACAGAATGGTATATTAAACGTTTAAAACGATCTACTACCATCCGTCACTTCGTCGTATATGTGAAACGTATTATAAACTGCAGAATGTCCGCGACTTCAACGTATATATACAGATTTCTATATTCATTTCATTAACGTATTTACATATATGATTTTTTTTATTAAATGGTAAACGTATATTAGCAGTTTACATTTACAGGTTTTACACGTATTCCAAATACGTTTATTAAATGTTGTGTATTATATAAATTTATACGTATACCAAATACGTGTATTAAATGTTATTTTTCCTTATTCATTTATACGTATAATGAAAGGGTTATTTTACTTTTTCGTAACCTTTTAGACAAAAAAAAAAGAAGGTAAATTCTCACTTAAATTTATTCGAAAAATACATTTTCGTCTTAAAATTAAGTGAGAATTCACCTTCTTCTTTTTGTCAGAGAGGTTATGAAACACCCTGTATAAACTATAAAAAGTATTAGTCCTTAAGTGACCTAAAATAATTAAAAAGTTTGTTCTTACTGCACGGTACTGAAATAATAACTCGTATACAAAAAACAAAACATATATTCTTTAAATAAACAAATTTGTTGCACAAATGTGACAAGGAAACAAAGTTATAACTTATAATAAAAATAACGTATCTACGGGTTTTACATTTTTTCTCTGTTATGCGGATGCCGGTGTTTGCTTAATTTCAGCCAGTCTTTTATCGCTTGGGATATTACAGAATCGTTCAAATCAAGAGGTTCTCTTCCTGAATATGAAAATTTTACAGCTTCTAAAAAATGGAAAAAGAATATAAATAATTAGTAGGTAGTACTTGCCATTAATAACTCCAGCTATTGTTGTTATACTAAATGGACATAATTATGAATAATTAATGTTAATTATGATAAATTAATTAAGAAATACCTACCACCTAGAAAGATAGGTACCTATATGAATTAACAAAAAAACAGAAGAAAATTTTAGAAATAACTCCAGAATATTAAAAATAAAAAATTGAAAAAGGAAAAAATTAAAAAATATAAAAATATTTTTATTGCGACAATTTTTTTAATTACATATTTTAATATGTATATATACATAAAGAATACTTTCTTTTGTATACAAAAGAAAGTATACTTTATACATATTACATAGTATATATACTTTTTTTTGTTAAAAATTTAAAATTAATAAGACAATTAATTATTTAAAAGTTTATTACAAAGACGTTTAAAAAAATATTTTTCCAAATTTACCTTACGAACAAATATTAGTTTACATTGTAAACTAATATTGGTTTTAATTTAATTTTGAAATGGGGTAAATATTTAAAACATAAAAAGATTCTAAATTTTAGAACAATAAAAATTATATGGTAAAAAAATAATAATTATAATTATAATTATCATTGTTTATTTACTACTTATATCATATTTTTATTGTTTTAAAATTTAAATATTATAATTATTTTTAATATTCTAAAACTTAATATTTTTTTATTTTAAAAATATATAAATAAAAAAGATAAAAGTTTAATGGTCTGGCACTTTAAAATATAATTAATTTAAAAAAAAAAGAAAAAAAGTTTTTATATTTTCCGGCACCCAAATTTTTCGGAAATTTTGAATCTCTAGTATAGAAAACTAAAATTTCCTGCATACGGTCACCCTTTTTAACAGGCAGTATGTAAACGGTATACAGTATACAGTATATATACGTATACGAAACCTTTACTTGACACTAAAAAATCGTTTAATTTATTTGTCTTGCCAAATTTTAACATATAAAGATAAAAGTACCTACATGAATGCATTCATGTAAAGTTAAACAAAAGCTTCTAAAAGATAAATTAAAAACTTACCCTCAACTCCTTTTCCAAAAGATAAAAAGAACTAACCCTTAAATTTGTTATCCACGTGTAGTAAGATACTTGCCTTTTTTTTTCTTCTGTAATCGAATAAAACCATATATAAAAACAACAATTGAATACAGCAAATCTTTTTTAAAGTATTTAGGCACACTTACCTAGGTAATTATAATTACTTTGCAATGCCTGGAGCCCGGCGTTTTCACTTCACAACAGGCTTTTCTTACAAAATGACGCCACGGGCGGAACCTGTAGCTGTTTGGGTTAAGACGCGACATCATTGGGTAAATTTAATCATGTGACTAAATTTTGCAGTGTTCAATATAGGTTTTGTACACGTATACTGTATACGGTATACAGTTTACCGTTTATATACCAGATTGTGTAGTGTGGAAAATAGGTATACTTTATACCATTTAAGTACAAAATTTAAACACGTGTTATATACGTTTTTAAAATTTAGTTTTTTTTAATAATTTCTTAATTACAGCTCAAATTTATCCGATATTCACAAAACAAGTTTCATCATACTTTTCGAGTCAGAACCATTAAAAAATTAGGCTTTTATTTGACTTCGTGTCAAAAATGGAATATTATATACATATTATATATGTTTCTTATATACGTTAAAAAAAGTAATATATTTTTTGCTATAATATACGTATATGTTACGATAAATTCATCATTTAACTGAAGTTAAAGTCCTATAATATCCGTATATTATACGTTTCATATAAAAAAGTAATATGAAAAACGTATATTATTTATACCTTTGAAATGTTATACGGTTTTTATACGAACAATACGTT